TACAAAAATACATAACTCATGAGTGATGGCACATACTAGGTGGTTCCCATGACTTCCCATGGCAACCATTTACTGAAAGATATAGTACAAGCTTTTCATCAATGAGCTCTTGTACTTTGGTCATTTCTGGTTTGGTCTTGCTTGTTAAGAACACCACAAATGCGTTGCTGGATCAAACCAAACACCCATTGAATCTAATATCTTGTTTGCACAGTGGCTAACCAAATACCTATGGGAAGGCTATAAGCAGGACCTTAGTCTGGTATTTTGTTTGTGGTTGAGTCTGGGCATGTTTTCTTCATGGTTTGACATTATTTCTGCTGATTTTATTTTAAAATGTTGATTGCAAATCACCTTGAGTAAGAAGCTGGGATCTATGCCAACTCTACAATTCTATAATTCTATATATGTTCCAAGGCAATTTACAAACATCCTTAATAACAACTAAAATATTTTTAAACCAGTACAACAGAATCTAGGTTTTGATTTTAAAACAACACAGAATGAAACCTTAGGCAGAGATATTTTCATCTTGCTGAGGATTAATTTATACATTAATGTAAGTAGTTTTTAATTCATGATGAATTGTAAAAGTGCTTTTACGTATCTGTAAGAATCTATGCTCACACTACTCAAAGCACATGAAGGATATAATTCTATAGGAGTAATGGCAGTCTCAGAAGTAAAAACGATTGAAATCAGTGGCCTTAGTTCAGAATGGACATGTATAGGACTGCACTGTCTATCACTGAAGCTCAGAAACCACCACTAAAACAAGGCAATAGCCTGTCCTGTTCTTTACCAAGTTTGCTGTGATCTCATCCTTTGGGAATTCTAACTCAACCTTAATTAGCTGACAAATTTCCAGAGGGGTAGTTGTGTTTGTTGCAGCAAAAATAACAAAGTCTTGCGATACCTGAAACCCTAACACATTTTATTATGCCAAAAGCTTTCATGGATTAAAGTCCACTTCATCAGAGACATGAAGGGTAATCCTCAGTTGCAGGTATTTATACACATTGTTTTAAGGGGTGCAGGCAGTTGTAAGGAGTGAGATCAGAGGGAATTGAAATGTGAGATGCACAGATAGTAGTAATTCAGTCAGAGCTAGAATGTATGTAAGTAAGCACAGTGACTCTTTACAAAAGCGGTGATATGCAATAAAACAATCAGATTGGCAATGCTGAGTTAATTAACATTGGCAGTGGGAAAAAAAACCATTGTCTCTATTCAGGCCCAAGTTAATGGTGTTTGACTTCTTGATAAGTTGTAGTTCAGGTGTTTCGGGCTGCAGTTTTCCTCTGAAATTCCTTTAAGATCAGTGGCAACATGCACCAGTAGATACGCTGTTTCCAGTGGCGTAGCGTGGGTGGTGCAGGGGGGGCCGGCCGCTCCGGGCGCAACATCTGGGGGGGGCGCGCTCGCACTCGCAGCTCTCTGCCCCTACCTGGCTCACTCACTCTCTCTCACTGCAGTGCTGGCTGTGCGAATCCAATCCGAGCCGCTGGGTCACCGCCCACTGTGGAGGGGGTGGGTGCCAGGCGTGCGGTGCGGAGAGAGAGCGAGGGACTATCTGGGGAGGGACAGTGCAGCGGCCGCCCAGCGCAGCGCTGAGCGCGGGAGAGAACCACACCAGACCAGACCAGGCAGCAGCAAGAAGAAGCTGGCAGCGGCGGCAGGTTAGGGGTTAGGGGGCGCAAATTACTTGCCTTGCCCCGGGTTAGGGGGCGCAAATTACTTGCCCTGCCCCGGGTTAGGGGACGCAAATTACTTGCCTTGCCCCGGGTTAGGGGGCACAAATTACTTGCCTTGCCCCGGGTGCGGACAACCCACGCTACGCCGCTGGCTGTTTCCAAGTGTTTTTTATACAGTATTGTAAATCTTTTTGAAAACATTTGTTAGGCACACTGTCTCGTATTCTGCAAAGTTAACAGAGTTTTATGGGCAGCTAAAGGGTTTGTTGCCCCCCTTTGGCCTTGAGAAATGACAGCTATTAAAAACAAAGAAGAATTTTGTGGCACCTATAGGTCTTGTAGGGACGCGGGTGGCGCTGTGGGTAAAACCTCAGTGCCTAGGACTTGCCGATTGCATGGTCGGTGGTTCGAATCCCTGCGGCGGGGTGAGCTCCCGTCGTTCGGTCCCAGCTCCTGCCCACCTAGCAGTTCGAAAGCACCCCTAAGTGCAAGTAGATAAATAGGTACCGCTTTATAGCGGGAAGGTAAACGGCGTTTCCGTGTGCTGCGCTGGTGCTGGCTCGCCAGAGCAGCTTCGTCACGCTGGCCACGTGACCCGGAAGTGTCTCCGGACAGCGCTGGCCCCCGGCCTCTTAAGTGAGATGGGCGCACAACCCTAGAGTCGGACACGACTGGCCCGTACGGGCAGGGGTACCTTTACCTTTACCTATAGGTCTTGTAACACTGTTCCCAAAGAATATATGGCACATCTTACCTGGCAACACTATTATAGGATCTAATATTGTCAGCCACAACATCAGTGGTTCATTCACCTGCTCATCTTCTAACAATAACCTTCTGCATTCTACGTATAGGACAAGCAGGCCAATCCCCACAAAAAAAAAAAAAAAAGAATAAATAGGCAGAAATCTGGCATTTGGGCAATATTAATAAAGCAGAAGGAGAACATTTCATTCCAGCTGTGAGGGGTACTGACGATAATCATGACTTTCACATTTTTACTGACAACATATGAAGCAAGTAAGTGAAAAAAATAACAGATGTTACCAAAAAAAGAGAGATAGGAAGAGCTTAAAACACAGCTAGGTTGTTCTTTTTCTCAATTTGGATCAAAGCTGGTTTTGGAAACACATCAAAATGCAGTATTTCCAAAGGAACATCCGGACAGATATGGTTTGTGGATGCAGATGGGGAGCCTACACAGTGCTACTGAGAGTTGGTCCATTGAAATTGATGTATCTAAGCTGATCCTGTCCATTAATTTCAATGAGTCTACGCTGAGTAGACTCTACTCTGCAACACTGGCTACAACCCATTAACAATGATTACTTTTATCTCCCATCGAAAGACTGTTGTGGTCACAGAAGCTGACTAGATCGGCACTTGAATTTAATCTCAGTGCTGGCAATGGGACAGCATTCTTTGCCATGCCTGAGGGCAGCAGGCTGACCTGGAGAGTTCAGGTAACGGAACATACATCATGCCGCCATTCATTCATCACCCTACCTGGGACCTGTTCACTGCCCACCCAAACCACTCAAAAGAGCAATAGATGCATGCATACAATACTTGCTGGAGTGCATGGCTTAGGCTAGCCGTCTCTCGGCCTGTTGGCTTGGTCAATCGCATGCCCTCCCCAGGACACTGCTTGTAATGTGTTGACAAAATGTGAACTAGGAAAATGTAGTTTTTCAATATTATGAGGAAAAAATTACCTGAAGCATACGGTGCAAGTTGTATACTCACTCAACATGCCCTCTAAAGACCACAGTTAGAGTTAGAGTTAATTAGAGTGACTTGATTCCATTTATGGAAACATTTCAGAGGCATTTGTTTTATATGTGCAGTTAAAGCAGCACATTGGTCATCTTTGCCTTCCTGTAGGACTGCTGAGCGATTGCTGCACCACTGTCCTTCTTCTCCCCAAACCAAACAGCAACCACATGAAAGAAACAAGAAACAAGAAATGTGCTCCATTTACAGATTGGTATTTACACCCTGCCTCTAAAGCTCCAATCCCTTCTGATTTTTGAACACTTGGCACTTGTGTGGCTAGCAAGAAGACTCCTTTATCAGAGCACTGTGAATGGGTTTTGTTTAAGGGATCATCAGATGCACTTCAGCCTTTGTCGGTCCTCTGATCTGGTGGCTGAAGCATACAGGCAGACCTGGGAACCACCAGTGGCAACATAACGCCTATCATGCTCAAATTAGTACATGAACTCATTGAGTTCTCAGGAGACAATGGAGCCGTGCGCCATGAACTCAAAATGAGTACATTTTGGTTTTCTTCCAACATGGACTCCCAAGTGCAGCCCAGAATCCATTGCAATGCCACAGGAAAGGAGGGTGTGGGTCACATGCTTAGTTTGTGTGGGACGGTAATCACTTTGCTCCACTTATGGCAGCAAAACAAAACAAAGTACTCTTGAGCTGTCCCTGTTTGTGCTAATGACAGTAATGAGAGTGAGTCTAGCATGGACAGTACATTCTGCATGGCTAAGTATATGGAAGTCTGTCAGAAGAGATGATAAATCTCTTGCAAGAACTCTCTAGTATTCCTGCTGGCTCACATCTGAGTCAAAAATATGAATGTGGGGACTAGAAGAAGAAGAAGAAGAGTTTGGATTTGATATCCCGCCTTTCACTCCCTTTAAGGAGTCTCAAAGCGGCTAACATTCTCCTTTCCCTTCCTCCCCCACAACAAACACTCTGTGAGGGGAGTGGGGCTGAGAGACTTCAAAGAAGTGTGACTAGCCCAAGGTCACCCAGCAGCTGCATGTGGAGGAGCGGAGACGCGAACCTGGTTCCCCAGATTACGAGACTCTTAACCACTACACCACACTAGCTCTCTACTGATTTTCCCAAACATTCTGCCATAGCTCCCAAAAAATTATGGATTTATTTGGCATCTTCAGGGAAAAGTTTAATTCTTTTTCTTTCCCATATGTATAGTGTGAAAAACACTTTTGTTCTTGCAAGGTAGAGCATCCTCTGAAAACTCTTCTGTGCAAACTGCTATTGTTTTGTTCAGTCTTAATTCTAGCCTTTTTTTAAAAAAAAAAGTTCATACATTTAAATTAATTAACATATGTATTTAAGCAGTAGTTCATTGGATAATGCCACATGTATACTTTGTAATATGTCATGTTATTGCAACAATTTTTTTAAAAAAGAACACTACGAACAGCCAATCTTTTGACCAGTGTTTTGTTTTTCTCTTCATATATTGTAAATGATATTAAAAACCTTGATTATGAAAGAACAATTGTACACATAGTTGCTTTATTATTGTATTGTTCAGTGCTTAAGAATCGTATTTTTAAAAAATACAAGCTTTGTAGTATTTTTTAAAAGGTTAACACACCGGCAGTGGGTTTACGCCTGCTGATGTTTTTTGAAATAAGAATTATAAACTTGTGTTTTAAGCCACCATGCCTGACAAAGGCTAGATTAATGCTTTAATACTACTTTGATAGTTTATTATTTTTAGAATTACCCCACGGATGCAATTAAAGTACCTTCACTATAAACTAACACATTTACTATAAAATGATATTACTTTGTTTAGTATTAGTAAATGAATGGCTTAAAAATTTGTTTCTGTTCACTATTGTGAATGTGAAAAACCCACTCTTCAAACGCTTACAGTGAAATCCAAGACAGAGAAGTTAAGTGGATATGGGATTTACATACAGTCTTATATAGCAACGCTTTTGTCTTGTTTGTAGTATACCTCTCTTCGGAAAAGATTTTAACACCAATCGCCGCCAGTGAATACCGAGGGGGTCTTCATTCTCCATCTATTTCTCCATCTAAAAGCACAAAGTGGCACCTTTGAGAAAACTTGCCAAGTCTAACGCGGACCAGATGCCGTCGCCTCCGCACGGGGAACTGTTGTCCCTGTGTTAAATTTCCTAACAACCACCCAGAAATATAAGCTAAAGCCTACAAGTTAGAGTCTGCTGTGGAAACCGTGGTCCTTTTTCATAACTAGCTGGTGGTGCAGGGCTTCTTCTCCAGAAAGCCTTTCTGAGTCCTTCTCCGAAAGCAGGCTCAGTCGGCATCGTGCAAACCTGTGTTGTCTACGCACTTAATTTAAAAGAATAAGGTCTGGGTAAGCGAGGCTAGAATCAGGCACGGGCTGCAGAGGAAAGGCAGTCTGCACGCGCTCAGAGGCTGCAGCTCCCTTCACTCATTATAGCCGCATGGAGGAAGCAGATTCAGGGACTGAGTCCACGCGCAAAGCAAAACGCACACACACAAAAACCCTGTCTGCTTTTCGCTCAGGGATTTCCTTTTAGCAAAAAAGAGAAGGGGTGGTGGGAGGAGGGGAAACAGAAACCCCGTCGCCGTGCATTTCGAGCCTCTTTGCTGCTTCTGTTTTGCTTTGCTTTTCCCTTGCTAGAGGGGGAAATGTGCGCAAGCGGCACCCCCGGAACGAAAAGGATGGAGGCTTCGTTTCCCGGCCGGCTGCTGTTTCGGTGAGCTCGGCGGCGGCGGGATGGTTGCTACTACGGCGCAGTGGCGGTGATCGCTCCGCGCGCCATGGAGGAAGAGGACGCGGTGAGGTTGGGGCGCAAAGAGGAAGGGGAAGGGTCCCTTCAGCTGCCCCTGAGAAGGACAGAGGGTTGGGATGTGGGGCAGGCAGGAAGCCCTGGGCTTGAGTATCACGAGGGATGCAGACAGGACGCAGCCTGTTCGGGGCGAGCTTAGTAATAAGCCCTTTGGGTCAAGTGGGAGTGGTTTAGGGTTCCCATTTCTTTTCCAGCAGGCTGCACAGTTCAACAGGTTAAGCTGCCATCTCCTCCTGCACCAGACTGGGGAAAGCTTCCTCTGTTGAACGACGCCTTCCGTGCAGCTGTTAAAAAAACCAAAACCAAAAGAGGGTCTGGAGGATGTAGGTTGGGGGCAGTGCCGGATTTACGTTTAAGCTAAACAAGCTATAGCTTAGGGCCCCACTCCCTTGGGGGCCCCGAAAAAAATTAGAAAGAAAAAACCACCTGGATGTACATTTCCAAAATATAAGATAAAAAAATAAAAATAAAACCTACATACAGCAACAGTGTTTTGTGTTGTGTAGGCTCCTATGATGTAAGTAATGAGCCCCGCCTGCTTGCCTGCTCCCTAAAATATCACTGGTTTGCTCAATTCAATATATAGGGTGCCCATAAATTACCGTATAGCATACATTCAACACAAAAAACAGCGACAGTTTGTTGTTGACAAAGGACAGCTGGACATATAAAGGGCCCCATTACCTTCAGTAGCTTAGGGCCTCATCAAACCTACCGTATTTTTCACTCTATAACACGCACCCGACCATAACACGCATATAGTTTTTAGAGGAGGAAAATCCGTAGGCATGCCACCCGTAGGCATTTCCTCCATAACACGCACAGACATTTCCCCTTACTTTCTAGGAGGAAAAAAGTGAGTGTTATGGTGCAAAAAATACGGTAAATCCGGCCCTGGTTGGGGGAGATACACACCCATTTCTTCGAAGGATTAAATACTGTATTTATTCAGGTGTTAAGGTTCCCAGCGTAGTGCTGTTGTTCTATACACTCTTCTATTGAGCTTCTGCCAACCTAGCAGTTTGAGAGCACACCAGTGCAAGTAGATAAATAGGTACCGTTGCGGTGGGAAGGTAAATGGCATTTCCATGCGCTCTGGTTTCCGTCGTGCCAGAAGCGGTTTAGTCACTGGCCACACGACCTGGAAAGCTGACTGTGGACAAACGCTGGCTCCCATGGCCTGAAAAGCGAGATGAGCGCCGCAACCTCATAGTCGCCTTTGACTGGACTTAACCATCCCAGGGTCCTTTACCTTTTTTATATTGAGTAAAGGGGTAGGTCGTGCAACAGAAGTGTTTAGCTCATGAAGTCCTATTTGTTGAAGTTAAATCAGGTGTCTCAACAGCGCAAACCAAGTCACACTTACATGGCAGTAGGGCCCACTGCATTCACTGAGTTTTAAATGTGCATAGGATTGCAACCTGGGTTACTGTGTACCGTCTTCTGCACATTTGCTTAGACTCTAATGAACACAGTGGAGCAAGTAAACATACATAGGGTTGGGCTGTAAATAATATTTAAGAAGATGCAATCTGTTACTCTTCTTCGATGGATAAGATACTTTACTGTGGTATATTGAAATAAATGTTATGGCCATGAAAGGACTGTGTACCTCTTGGAAAGAACAGACTGCTGCTATTTACATTCAATTTTTTCCTTTTTTTTGAAATAGAGAGACTACAATGAACCTTGTGTACAGTGTTCTGACATCAATTGGGGACTTACTGAAGAAGGAAAATTTTACTGCAGATCATGCCACAATGTTATAGAAGTAAGTAAGCAATTCTCAGTCTCACTTTTTTTTTTTACACTCCCAAATTCCCTTCAGTTTTTAAGTGTAAACCTTCATTAAAAATTAAATATATTCACCTAGTGTGGGACCTGTATTAAATATTGTGGCCTTGGTTCATTTTTTATTATCTGCAACTAGTCACATAGTGGCTCTGGAAGTGGATGCATGCTGTCATCCAAAAATTTATCCATGTAGTCCAGGAATCCAGAAGAGCATTGTGATAGTGTTGTGGATTCTTGTAAGTCTACATCCATGGTAGCTTTGCAAATAGAAGCCTGCTCACCCAAAATGATCTCTGTTGTTCCATTGCGATACATGTTTAAAAGGACAAGAAGGCTTCTGGATTTTTTTGTGGTTTGTTGTTAACCTTATATGTTTTCAAAACTGTCTTGCAGAGGACTAGAGAAGTTATAACTGGTGATGCTACTACAAATGCCAGGGCACAGTCCATCTCTAGAGGCTTAAAAAAGAAGAAAAAACTTGGTATGTTGGCCAAAAAAAGAAATTTGTGCTGTAAAAAAACATGAAACATTTATATTCCCCAACCTTTGGCCTAATATCTTCATGAATGTATAAGCATAAAAAATGCTGTCTGGCAGTATTCGAAACTCCCATTGTTCTAGGCGCATTGCACGACAGGGAATTTCATTAGCGGGAGCAATTTCTGAGCTCTGGGCACAGTTTCAGATTAAAACTGCAGAGTGGACCTTTTTCTGCTTCCCCACTTCCAGCTACTCTCTGAAGACTGGAGAAGAGACCCTCTTAAGAATATTAGGGCGTGGGCAGGGGAAGGACTAGACCATGTGAAAAATGAACATAATATTTTAGCTGCAGTTCGTTCATTTTCAGCTTTGTATTCTTGTTATAAAAAAGTGCATAGACATTCTATTGTTGTATCCATAACCTATGTTTAAGGTGCCGTTTAGCTCCTAGCTTTCATATCTCAGTTTCTTAACACTTTGTTGTTGTTGTTTAGTTGTTTAGTCGAGTCCAACTCTTCGTGACCCCATGGACCAGAGCACGCCAGGCACTAACTTAACACTTAACACTACTGTCTGGCAAAATATGCTAATCAGCTATGACTTCTCCATAGCTTTTGGATATAAATATGTTCCCCCAACATTGCTTCCATATAGATTACAGCACAAATATCACTTTTAAGTCGACTGTTAACACTTTCTAGTGTACGATATTTGATCAGTAAAATGCTGACACACAGCTGGCACAAAATATTACAGCTAGACTGTAGATGGGGACAGACTATTAATAGTACAGTGGTACCTCTGGATGCGAATGGGATCTGTTCCAGAGCCCCATTCGCATCCTGAGCAGAACGCAACCCGCATCTGTGCGTGTGCGTGTCACGATTCGTTGCTTCTGCACATGCGCGTGACGTTACTTTGAGCGTCTGCGCATGCGTGAGCTCTGAAACCTTCCAGGTCACCACAGAGCGCAACCCAAAAACACTCAACCTGAAGCAACTTTAACCCGAGGTATGACTGTACATCAAAAGTTCAATGATTAAATCTTACTCCCTCGTAAGTGTGTTTAGGATCATAGCCTAAAATGCCTTATTGGTATAATTTTGGCTATTAACAAGCTATTAGTCATGACACTCATTTTTCTTTTAGAAAGCAGCTGGGAATGGTATATTTGTGAAGGCTTTCAATTCATTCTCTCGAAGCAAGCCGACGCACTGCAGGCTTTAGGAGTTTCTTCACAGTTCAAGGTACATTTAGCCTACTTGGTGCAGTGGTCCCATCTCACGAAATGCTAATTAGTGTTAAGATGATAAACCACAGTGAGCCTCTGGCACAGCCACGAGGAGGAATGCAGAACTTTGTTGTGATGTCCAAACTATGACAATCTGGTTAATCTATGGTATGTTGAAACCAAACAACTTCAAATTATGAGTTAAGAAGCATCCTTATTTCAACAAACTACAGTTTAGATTAGCCATAGCTGAGGGTTCAGGCAGCACCAGCAGCATGCTAAACTGTGGTTAAAGCTAAAGCGGAAATAGAAGTTATCGATCTCCTTATAGCTGTTCCAGAAAGGGACAGGGTGTGTGTGCAGGCCCAAGATTCATTGTGGCTCACCATTGTAAACTGTGACTTAAGTGTGATTGCAGCCATTCCAGGGAATGCCTGGCAGTGAATTATGAAATTCAATGGACAGTTATGCAGCTTAGAACCATTGCACATAATCTATGTGCTGCTTAATGAAAATGCACTTGTTTCCCAGGTGGAGGAGGCATGGAAGTAGGGGTGGGAGCTGAGAAAAGGAAGGAGGAGGGAGAAAAAAGTGATGAAGGTGCAAATGGGGTTTGCAAAAGGAGCCACGGGAAGGAGGGTTAGGATGAAAGCAGGTGTACAAAGGGGGCAGCAAAATAGAAAGGAGTAGTGTCATCATAATAGTGTGGAGGGTGAAAAGGCTGCTTAGGAGTTGCAATGGGGGGGGGGGGAAGGAAGGTGCAGGAGGTTACCATAGAGGTGGTCTGTGTGCAACGGAAGGATTGCAAAAAAAGCAGGGGAGGAGTAAGCGTGGACATAGGCATGAAAAAGGCTGCAAAATAGGGCTGCAGAATAGAAGAGTGAAATGAGATTGGGAAGCTGAAAAGGGAGCTTATTAGTTGCATGGGGTGGGAAGGTGCAGCTCTAGGGGGTTAATGTGGGGGCTTGGTTAGCAGCAAAGCGAGCAGGGACACAGGCCCACATGTTTTGCATGCACATAAACATACACAAACGTGGGTGAATAACTTTTTTTGTTCTTATCAGGATGATGTTTTGTGGAAGTTCTGGAGAATTTACCTTCAGAAGAGCCCGCAGGCTTATTGTGACAAGCCCCGCCGTGAAGTTGCGCGCGATATCTCGACAGTAAGTGCAAAGTTAGGAAGGGATGATTAGCTGTCTTTTCCATGCCCATGTGGTCCAAGAGCATTTATGGAAACTTAGGCAACCTATCTTATAACTAAAAACCTACATTATGGCAGTGCTCAAAACCCTTTAAGAGGACCTTGTTTTGCTGGGAGCCAGAATTCCTTAACACAGTGGTTTTCAGCCAGCGTGCCGTGGCACCCTGGGGTGCCTTGAATGATGGGCAGGGGTGCCGTGGGCAACACTGGCCTATGTCCCTCCTTCCTTTCCTCCCTCCTCTGATGCTCTCTTGTGTCTCTGCCTCCCAAAGGCTTGCACAGCTTTTATTGCAGCAGCCCTGGCTATGAGTGTCACAGGCAAAGGGTGCCTCAGGGAGGCACCTCTCTTTGGGGTGGGGGGGGCAGCTCAGAGACCAGGGAGTGTGGAGGACTCCCAAGGAGAGGGGAGAGGAGAGGAGAGGCTGAAGGAACACTCCACAAGGGAGGGTGTTTGAAAAAGGGCGAGAAGCTGCCAGCTCTGCAGGCAAGGGGTGACATAACTGGGCTCCTGGGCTCCACAGGGGTGCCGCAGAAAAAATGTAGTTGGTCAAGGGAACCATGGACTCAAAAAGGTTGAAAACCTTTGCTTTAACACACTGCTTTTCTAGATACGTCTTGCTCTTCACTGACACATGGATGAAGACAGATAAAACATACCTTAATCCTCTGGTGAAAAGTTTATTTTATCCTAACAGTGGGATATATTTAGCATTGAAAAATGTTTACTTCAGATTGCCATTGGTTGTAAATATTTTGCTATTGAATGTGAATGTAAAGCTAGTAAGAAGTTCAGTTTTTTTTAAAAAAAACTGTCATTGAGAGGGCGATTAAAGCCAGCAGGTGGAACCAAATATGCTATGTTTTCAGAAGACATGCTGAAAATGCGAGCAAAGATACAAAATAAATTATACTTAGTGGCTTTGTTTGGATGGTGTTTTCACGCCCACTGCAGGGAGTGTGGGTGGGCTTTGGGATTGTGTGCATGCTGTCATCCACATGGAAAGTAAGATATGATCCGGCACTGTGCTTGTTTGATCTGAAACCAGATTGTTCTCAACCTCCCCTTTTTTGTAAAGCTTTTTTATTATTTCATTTTATAATTATATAAAACAGAGATAACAATTCTCAAACTCATCTTTTTACCTAGAATTGGCCCAGGTTGACAGATCTTTAAGGGTAAATTTATTATCAGATCCATCTCAGCGACAGTGGAAGAAGGCATATGTGATATTGAGGCCTGTTGCCACCTCCTGTAACTGGGGGGAAAATGTTATCTGAATCAGGCCAGTGACTTAAGCATATAATTATATGCATATTGCTTATCCTTGTGAATATGGCATGGGCTTAATGTTTCAAGAAAACTGTGGAGATGGCTGACATTGATTGGTTTTGGATCTATTGCTATGAGCAAGACTTGCTAGGAATGACTTGTGTAACAGATTATTTGCTAGTACAGTCAGCATGCAACTTGCGCACATTTAACTTGCGCTATTGTAACTGTATGTGGCAGGCAGCTGCGATTGCACAAATTAAATGCACAGAAGGCGGAGAGCTTAAAAGCTTCGGGAGGCTCTTGTGGGGCTATCAGAGAGGTAGGGATGTTCACACAAAGTCTGTTCCAGGATTGTTCTGACTATACACGATTTTGGCTTTACACACAATCCCTGCAAGTTGTGAGTTTTAAAAAGAGGAAGGCATTTCTGCCTCCACCCAGTGTAGTTTGTCTGTATGCAATATACATAATTTTAAAAATATTTACACTGTTACATGTACCGTATTTTTCGCCCCATAGGATGCACTTTTCCCCCTCCAAAAATGAAGGGGAAATGTGTGTGCGTCCTATGGGGCGAATGCAGGCTTTCGCTGAAGCCTGGAGAGCGAGAGGGGTCGGTGCGCACCGACCCCTCTCACTCTCCAGGCTTCACGCAGATCTCCACAAGCTGCGGAAGCCCGCTTGCGGAGAGTTGCCTGCATGCCGAAGGCTGGGTGCACTGAGCTCAGCGCACCCAGACTTTGCGCGGCTCTCCGCAAGGCGCGGGAGCCTGGCGCTGGGCTCCTGCGGCTTGCAGAGAGTTGCCTGCATGCCGAAGGCTGGGCGCCCTGAGCTCAGCACACCCAGGCTTCGTGCAGCTCTCCGCAAGGCGCGGGAGCCCGGCGCTGGGCTCCCACGGCTTGCGGAGAGTTGCCTGTTCTGGCTGCTGGGGTCAGGGGAAGCTTGGGCTTCCCCCACCCCAGCCCCGCACCTGGGGGGAAAGTAAATTTTTTCCCCTTTATTTCCCCCCCAAAAAAACTAGGTGCGCCTTATGGGACGGTGCGTCCTATAGGGCGAAAAATACGGTATTTAAAGATTGCTGTTTTACTTTGCAAACTAACTTATAACCACATATTTATCTCTTTTATTGAAACCTGGTGATCATTACTGACTGCAGCAGAATATTTTTCTGATAAAACTGTTTTAAGGAAGAGGGAATTCCTTTTGAAAATGTAACTGTGCCATGGTTTAGAGCTGTGCCGTTGGGAGTCTTACACCACTATTTTATTTTGAAAACAGACGTGCGACTCGGATACTGATGTTGACAGGGAGCTAGAAATTACTAGAATTATTGGCTTGGCTTCCTCTGCAAGTGATACAGATGTGGTATCCGAATCTAGCATGGGAGGTTTTTCTTCTACTAGCAATTTATCAGGTAAGACTAAACGTACCTTGAACAGTTAGTTTAGAAATGAAAACATTTTATCCTCTGGCTACTCTGGTGTGCTTAAAAGCTGTATCTTAATGACTAACATACAGTGGACTAGCAACTTGCGTGCATTTAATTTCCATGATCACAGCTTTATGCTCTGGGCTGCCAGCCAGCTGCGATGGCACAAATTAGATGCATCCAAGGTGGAGAGCTTAAAAGCTCTTTCTACGCCAGGCTTTTGCAGTGAAGAAAGACCTTTTAATCTCTCAAACTTGCTTACTGGGCTCTGGGAAGATCTCGTGTAGGCTCTGGAGGCCTTCATGAGGTCTTATGGAGTTCTCCAACATCTTACAGGAAGACTTCCAGAGAGTGCCTGATCCATGTGCCGTCTTCAGGGTTATTCTGGCTATACACAATTTTGGATTTACACACTATCCCTGGAACCTAATTTCCACTAGTCCTCTGTATGTAGCAGACTTAGAATGTTTTTATTTTAATCATAGTAATTAAGAAATTCCAGCTTTAGCTTCAGTGAAAAGTCTGAAAATGTTGTAGTGCTTTGTGTCCTCAACAGCATGTCCAGATTTGTAAAGTTAAATTTTCAAGAGTAAGGGGAATCTGGTTTAAGTGGATTACGGTAAGTGGTTGCAGGGCATATGGAAAAGCAGTACAAAGGCTGAATATTTTGTACAGTTCAGATGAGGGGGGTTGGGTCTGTGACTGAACCAGTGCTGAAGATAAGAACTGGCCTGCCCGTGCGGGCCAGTCGTGTCCGACTCTAGGGTTGTGCGCTCATCTCACTTAAGAGGCTGGGAGCCAGCACTGTCCGGAGACACTTCCGGGTCACGTGGCCAGCGTGATGAAGCTGCTCTGGCGAGCCAGCACCAGCGCAGCACATGGAAACGCCGTTTACCTTCCCGCTATAAAGCGGTACCTGTTTATCTACTTGCACTTAGGGGTGCTTTCAAACTGCTAGGTGGGCAGGAGCTGGGACCGAAAGACGGGAGCTCACCCCGCCGCGGGGATTCGAACCGCCGACCATACGGTCGACAAGTCCTAGGCACTGAGGTTTTACCCACAGCGCCACCCGCATGGGGGAAATTTTAGAGCGGCATTTTTTGGTTCATGGTGACATCTGGGGGCATAATGTACACTTTTTTGGGTGTGGAACCAGTGAAAATATGTGTCCTTTAAAGAAAACTGGCTTGCTGTGCTTTTATCATTATTTAGGCTGGTCATTTATAACTAATCCTTAGGATTCACAAATGGAAATTGATGAGGTGACAAACCCGGAAAGTGTTCTATCTTGCAAATCCTAGCAACGTCCCAGCATTGTGTGATCTTGCTTGCTTGTAGAGTGTGCTTTTAAGACATTATTTTAAGAGTATCTATGTTGTAAAATAATTTTTTGTAGGTGAGTAGTAATGGGACGGGAATCAAAAAGGATTCCTCAAACTCAGGAATGGCATATTTTCACCATATTGCTTAGCGGCTGACAAATGGGAGCTTAAAATCTGTTTCTGTAACAATTAGGCATTATGTGATGCTTGGGGTTTTTAGATGTTTATATCTACTGCCTGCCAGGTCATTGTTCTCCACGCTGGCTGGTTGAAACCCTCCATTTGGTGCAGTATATAGACGTTGTTTGGGAAGCCTATTAAATTCGTAGGCTGTTATGACATGTCTTAAATTGTATGTTGAGTTAGGTTTAATGCTGACTGCCTAATATGCCCTGCATAATCCAGAACAAATAAAATGCAAAGCTGCTGTGTTAACAGGATGGCTACGAATAGAACACAAGGATTATTGTAAATCAGACTGAATATGGAATAAGCAGTAGAGTTTCTATCATCAGTGCTCTTGAGACACAGTCTATACATGAAAAAGGCGAAACTGATGACTGAAAGGATTACCTGAGGTTCATGCTTTTTGTGCTGTGACTCACATATACACAATAGACATTCAAAGCAGCTCTTGTGTTTCCTTCTAAGCTTTTAGAAGCCATGCAGTAGAGGGTGTTTTCTTAGTAACTATTTTCATTCGCTTTGTTCAGAGGCAGTAAAAGCAAAATGATACTCAGTGCGGTGGAGCTGCTGTTATTAGTAATTTTAACAAATCACTGTCCATACTGTCTTATAGGAAATGTGAATAGTACATAATCGTTATTTGGGGGGAAACGAGCGCACACAAAAACACTGTTGGGATTGTCACATGCCTGCATGTGGTTTTTCTCTAAAACCTTAATTGCAAGTCATTTATGTGAACAGGCTGCCGCTGGTGTGATACTATTATTGTTATGAATGTTGTTGTTATTGTTCATATTTGGGGTTGAGTAAGCTCTTCAAAAATAGAAAGTTAGCATGGCTTTCTTATTAAGAGTGTTGGATTAAAATTGTGGATTCCCTAGTCAGCCTTAAAGCTCACTGGATCGCCTTCAGCCATTTAACATTTCTTAGCCCAACCTACCTTGTAGGGTTGTTTTGAAAATAAAAGGGGGAGGATAGTATTCCATGTACCTCCTTGTGCTCATATAAAAATTTTCAAAAGGGCTTAGAAATAATAAGTCACAAAACTATGAATGCTTTCTTCACCTCTGTTTTTTTCCACATTGGTATTTTATTTTGGAGTTACATCTTCCAGTTACTTTGCAAATAAGCATATACTTCACGTTCATTTGTCTTAAAGCGGTGACTAGAGATATTTGATTTCAATGTTTTGTTATAAAATGCCTTCATGAATTTCTGAACTTTGCAGTCTTTTACTTTTTTCTTATTATGCAGCCTAACTTGTTACATGTTTCTTTGCTGTTTAGATATTCCTTTTTGTTTTCATAAGGAGTTTATACGGCATTATGAGAATGATTCATCGTCCCGAGCTGTATAAAGATACGTGGGTGTATAGAGCTGGGATAGCTCAGTTGGCAGAGCACAAGATTCTTAGTTTCAGGGTTGTGGGTTTGAGCCCCACGTTGGGTGAAAGATTCCTGCATTGCAGGGGGTTGGACTTGATGACCCTAATGGCCCCTTCCAACGCTACAGTTCTATGATTCTGTGTGTAAGCTGCATGTAGAATACTGGCCTCCACCTGCCCTATTAGCAGTATAAAATCTGAGTCTCTGGGAATGATAGCTGCTGATTTACATTCTTTTTATGCTTTGTCTCCAAAAGGCAGAAGCAATTAAAGTTTTTTTCTCTTCCCTTTTTTCATCGTTAAATTGTCATTCAGCAAGCCTGCAATTTACATGCATTTAACTTGTGTGAATTCAGCTTTATGTGTGTAGCAATTTTTTAAAATAAAAATGGGTGAAAAGGGGACAGCCATTGAACCCAATGGGTTTTGACTATACACAATTTTGGCTTTTAGGCACGATCCCTGGAACGTAACCCCTGCATAAGTTGCAGGCTTACAGTATTTCATTGGCTGAATTTTCCTGTATCACTTCTGCACACATTGGTGTGAAGTGATCTTTTTTTGAGGTTTTCCTCTTTGTAAGAAAGCTTATGTCAATTTTTACTAGTTGGTCCACTTTTCTGCTTTATTTTTAGCCAAGAACAAGGTTTACTCGTATAGAACAGTTGTACTTTAAGTGAAGCTGCCTTTGCACGTAATAATTTGTTTTAAAGCTTTAAAGATTACGTCATTTCCCTTGCTATCCTCCTGGCTATGCTGAGAAGGGAAATCTTTTGTAGAGGTGTAATCTGCCGATGTGCTTGCACACACCTTTTGAGCCAAGCTCTAATTTGTGGTTTCGGCAGCTGTCTTTGTTCTTTCATTCTCCATTTCCCATCTGTTTAGTTAGGAAAATGCATTTATTGATGTGAGATGAGATTTGCTCTTAAGATTTGAAAACAACCTGCCCCCCCCCCCAATCCAGACACACTATTAAGTTTTCACTTGCATAGGATTTAAAGAGAATTAAAACCCTTCGGCTTCATTGCATAGTTTGGCTCAGTTGCTTGAGCATTGTATATGTCTGTTCTCTGCTTGTGGCAGAATGTTATCAAGCTAACTGAGCAGCCACTTGGTCTTGGAACGAAGTACAGTGGACACTCGGGTTGCGAACGTGACCCGTGCGGGATGCACATTCGCAACCCGCAGTGTTGGCAACCTTCGTCTTCACACTCGCAGGTTGCGATTTGGCGCTTCTGCGCATGCGCAAAGAGCAATTTAGCGCTTCTGTGCATGCACGACCACTGAAACCCGGAAGTAACCCGTTCCGGTTCTTCCGGGTTTCGGCGGTCTGTAACCTGAAAAAACACAACCTGAAGTGTTTAACCAGAGGTATGACTGTATGTTATGATAGGTTTTCAGTTCCTTTTTATCAATGAGTTGTACTCAACTATCCATGTCAAACTCAGTGTAGACTCATTGAAGTTAATGGATAGGTTAGTAACAACTAAAGTCCGTTGAGTTCAGTGGGTTTACTTTGGGTATGACTTGGTCAGGTACAACCTCCTTTGTATATTGATCCAGTATAGTCTGTAGTTTGGGCTAGCTTCCTTTTACCGTGCTTGAATTATTTCCACAGGAAAATCTTTCTGGTCTGGATCAGTGGATGCTGGCTCATATTTACAGAAAATGAAGAAAGGAGAGATTAGAATGTCAATGCCGATGACCCTGGCTTTCTGCTATTTGGCATTGCTCTGGTTGAGGGAATCAATTACATTATCACATCTCTTAAGGTAAGAACAGTATCTAATAAAGTATTTTGTTTTTAAAGCCTGCTTTCCATTCTGCCTTTAACTATAGCTTTTTGTATTTAGGTAGAATAAAATATGATTAACTAAATAGTTTTATCACTTTTCTAGGTCAGTTGTGAATAAGAAGATTTGCTTTTTTACAGTGCTACTTTCCTAGAAAAAGAGGAACCGGAACTCGCGTCCCTTTTTCTCTTAGAATGGCAGTGGCACCCACCTGAGAGGTGCTGGAACTGAGTTCCAGTGAGTTCTGGCTGGAGAAAAGCCCTGCTTTAAAAAAATAAACAAACTCACATTTCACCAGACAGTTGTTCTCAACCCTTCATTGATGCAGACAGTACAACAATACAGTGGTGCCCCGCAAGACGAACGCCTCGCAAGCCGGAAAACCCGCTAGACGAAAGGGTTTTCCGTTTTCAATGCGCTTCGCAGGACAAATTTCCCTATGGGCTTGCTTCGCAAGAAGAAAATGTCTTGCGAGTCTTGAGATTTTTTTTCCGCCCCCCCCCCTTTTCTAAGCCGCTAAGCCTTTAATAGCCGCTAAACCGCTAATAGCGCTAAGCCGCTAATAGGGTTGCTTCGCAAGACGAAAAAACCACTAGACGAAGATACTCGCGGAACGGATTAATTTCGTCTTGCGAGGCACCACTGTATACTGTATTTTTCGCCCCATAGGACACACCGGCCCATAGGACGCACCTAGTTTTTTTGGGGGGGGAAATAAAGAAAAAAAATTATTTCCCCCCCAGGTGCGGGGCGGGGGTGGGGGAAGCTTCTGGGTGCAGGCAAGCTCTCCCATGGCTAGCGGAGCGCTGCGTGAAGCCCGGAGCTTGGGGCGTGCTGAGCTCAGCGCGCCCCAAGCTTCTGGGTGCCAGCAAGGTCTCCGCTAGCCGTGGAAGAGCTGCATCTCCCACGGCTAGCGGATAGCTTCCTGAAGCCTGGAGAGCGAGAGGGGTCGGTGCGCACCGACCCCCCTCGCTCTCCAGGCTTCAGCGAAAGCCTGCATTCGCCCCATAGGACGCACACACATTTCCCCTTCATTTTTGGAGGGGAAAAAGTGCGTCCTATAGGGCGAAAAATACGGTAATTCGACTAGTACAAAAAATTAAAATGAAACTAGCTGAAACCAACTGAAACAGCAGCATTCACTAGTGCCTAAATAGCCATCAGAATAAGTGTTTTCACTGCTTACAAAAGGAATCTGGAGAAGTATGCATGTGGAGTTTAGAGGGGGAGCATGCCACAAGATGGACACTCTTCAACCTTTTCAAGCTGGGACTACCATTAGCCTAACTATGGATTTAGGAACCCACATGTATCTGTCTGTCTGTCTGTCTATCTATCTACACACACACACACACATATATATATACACACATGCGTATACATATACACACGTGCTGCATTAGGATAGGCCAAATATTGTTGGACTTCCCTGATCGTTGGCTATACTGGCTGGGACTGATGGGAGTTGGGAGTACAACAACATCTGGAGGGCCAGAGGTTTCCCATCCCTACACAGTAGGCCCTGACCCACAAGTTGAAGACCAGTGGAATAGATTAACTTGGAGGCGGAGACGACGCAATGGCACTTTCCCCCCGGTGCCATTGGGCCGGCCCTCACTTAAATACAGTGTGACTATCTCACAGTACACCAGTTACACAAATCTCTACAAATTGCCCCAGATTATCTAGTGGGGGGACTTGTGTGAGGGAAAACTTAATGATTTGGAGTCTCAGGCAGGATTTGATCAAATAAACAAGACATATTTTATTAAACATAGGAAGTTTATGACACAGTGGGTAAAACAAAGGATACTTCAGATTATAATGTTTTTTCAGGTAACCGTTCACCTAATAATATTTATACTAAATCTAACTGATGTTATGGACTCCTAATCAAGCACAGCTTCTTTTAAACTTCAGTTGGCTTATGTTCAGTTACTTTGCTTCAGGTAGATTGTACAGGTTTTTAGACTAAAGGGTAAATGCTCAGCTTATTTCTAGTTATTTCACTTCAGTTCTTTCTCAGTTGTTGCACAGCTGTTGCCACTTAATACTTTGGTTCTTAAACAAGGTGGTACTTCCTGTCAGTTACACACCCCCTTTGATAAACCTACTCCTGAGGTAACAGACCCAAGGGATCACCACACCCCTCTTAACTGGTTTGGGAGACTTCTCTTTCAGGAACAAGGCCCTCCAGCTCTTTTAGGACTACAACTCCCATCATCCCTAGCTAACAGGACCAGTGGTCAGAGATGATGGGAATTGTAATCCCAAAAGAGCTGGAGGGCCAAGTTTGGCCATGCCTGTTCTAGAAGAATCTCTTCCCTCCTGACCGGATTGAGTCCTAAGTAGACTTTATCTTTCCAGCTTCTACTTCTCCTGGCTCAGCCTCAGCCTCCCAGTTAATTCCTGGCCTATTATTATCACAGGACACCACACACTGTCCTTCACACTAAGCTCAGAGACTTCTTTATCTAGCTTTTGATATACAGTGGTACCTCTGGATACGAATGGGATCCATTCCGGAGCCCCATTCACATCCTGAAGTGAACGCAACCCACATCTGTGGGTCGCAATTTGCCGCTTCCGTGCATGTGCGTGAGTTCATTTTGACCGTCTGTGCATGCGCGAGCGGTGAAACCTGGAAGTAACGTGCTCCGTTACTTCTGGGTCGCCCCGGAGCGCAACCCGAAAGCGCTCAAGCTGAAGCAACTTCAACCCGAAGTATGACTGTATTCCTCAGAGTGGATGTTTCTACCCAGAACCAACTCTCTCCTCTCACTCCCTATCTCCCAACCTAAAACCTGTCTCTCCAAAAACCTCTCCTTTTCAACTCCCTCTCCTGGAACCCCGGCCAATCAGAAGCTGCCGTTCGCTAACCATTTGCTGGCAGGGAAAAAGAAAAAGAAAACACTAGGTGACCCAAGCCTGCCCAGCAAAACAAACCTTTCCCTCACAGAGGCCATATGCACTTGGCTGGTAACACGGCTTTCAAAGTTGTGGCTGGCTACATTCTGTGATTTTCAACTCCTAACTAGCAGTGGCAAATATTTTTTTTTTTAAGTGTGAGATCAAAAATTATCTACCCCAATTTTGCAATTTCTTAGGCATTACAAGCTTAGTTGTGGACTTTGGCTTGGCTCGACATTCACCCTTCCTTGTGTTTTTACAAGCTAATCAATTTATGAAGATCTAAAAACTGCTTTTTTTAGTTTGGAAAGTGCAGGCTTTTCAAAATTCCTCTTTACTAATTGACTAGAAGAATAGAAGTCTGCAATTGTCAGAGTTAACCAAAGGGCTATTTCTTTCAAGCATCCCCTTCTTTTTGCACTGATTGATATTTCTGCATAGACGTGCCCACTTCCAATAATTGCACACCACTGTTTAACAGTGCAATATGGATGGGTTTCTACTTTTGCTCTCATTAATTAAATATATTTTAAATGTAATATTTAGCAGGGATTCGTGATTTCACTCAGCTGTTACGTTTTAGCTTTGTATCTGTGTCTTGTCATGCGTTTTGAACTAAAATCAGTATGTACATCTTGATTTTACTTCTACTCCTTTCATTTAGGCTGGTAATGGATGGCCACATCCCTTACTTGAATGCTTATAAAGATTTCCCAGAGGAGATGAAGGTATATGGGACGGACTGCAAGATCTTCTATGTAAAGGTGACCTTCATTCATCTACCTTCTGTGAAAATGTTTACCCGTTACATACATGTATGGTGGCTCTGATGAATTAAAAGTAGATTTTTCTTACTGATCTTACAATTTCTGGAAATGCTCTTTAGCCTCACTGGTTCCTCCCAGGCATTGTCTAATGTCTGTTATTACTATCTGCTATTCCCCCCAGTGCTCTCACCGTTTATTTAATCTGTGGTAGTCAGCTCTTTCTTCTTCTTCTTCTTCTTCTTCTTCTTCTTCTTCTTCTTCTTCTTCTTCTCCTCTCTTTTTTGCATTGCAGCCATGTAAAATGGGGAGCATTTTAAGTTGGAGAGATGGTTTTTCAAAACACTCCTCCTTTGAATGAATACCACCAGCACTGATCAGCTGATTCAGAGGGGCTTTCTCCATTAGTGAGAAGGGTTTTACATTAAAACTTCTGGTTAAAACAGGGTTCTCCCCCCGCCCAGTAGGGAATACCGTATTTTTTGCACCATAACACTCACTTTTTTCCTCCTAGAAAGTAAGGGGAAATGTCTGTGCGTGTTATGGAGGGAATGCCTACGGGTGGCGGGGGGATCTGCTGCAGTCGTGAGCAGAGGATCCATGGTTCCCCTTCCTTCCCTCCTCCGTGGCTCGCTTTGAAACAGCAAAGCGGGAGAAGAGCCGCTGAGTGGGGAGGAGAGAGGGACAGAGAGCCTGCTTGCTTTAAAGGAGTAAAGCGGGAGAGGAGAGGAGCCGCTGACACGAGTGTAAGCAGCTCCTGTCCAGTTGGTTCCTTTAAAGCAAGCAGGCTCTCTGTCCCTCTCTCCTCCCCACTCAGCTCGCTAAATAGCAGCAAAGTTTTTCAGCTTGCTAAGCCAGGGATGAGCGGGGAGGAGGGAGAAAAGCAGAGCCTGCTTGCTTTAAATGAGCAAAGTGGGAGAGGAGAGGAGCCTTCTCCTCTTATACCCCTCTTCTTCATTATTAGCAGCATCCTTCTCCACCCACCCCACGCATGCTTCTTCTCCCCTTAAACCCCTCTTCTGTATTATTAGCAGCATCCTTCTCCTTGTCCCTTGAGTGCTTTTCCTTCCTTCCCCACTTAAAACGTGGTTACAAAGCATGGATCCACATGGATCCTCAGGATTTTTGCACTGGGTCACCCCAAATTCACCATCAGATCACATAACATGTCCATGGTTACATCTTGCACCAAAAAAATCACGCACCCACTGTTGCCTGGGGCCGCAGTGGTGCAAAAACGTGGTTACAAAGCATGGATCCACATGGATCCTCAGGATTTTTGCATTGGGCTACTCCAGACTCACTGTCAGATCACATGTCTGTGGCCACAGCATGAACCACAAAAATCATACATCCACTGTTTCGTTTAGAATATTTTTTTCTTGTGTTCCTCCTCTAAAAATTATGTGCGTGTTATGGTCAGGTGCGTGTTATAGAGCGAAAAATACGGTAAATTTCTTTTCTAGCAAGAGGTTTCGCCACTGCTGTTTTACATCCTGCACCATAGCTCTCCTTAGATACATCTACTGTTCTGCCATAGCTACTATGCCACTACTCCTACTTAGTTTGCTTAGTTGTGTTTTGGGGCACTGCCGTTCCCATAGTACTTCAGATTTGTCAGCACCACATTGCATTGTTATGAATAGTTGTGAACAGCAAGAATGTGTGTTTAAGATGTGCAGAGGTGCCTTTTTCACTCGGGAGATATACAGAGCAGGTGCAAACTTGCAAGAGTGAGTCACCATCGCAGAGAAGACTTGAAGTTGAACCCAATTTTGTCAGCTAGCAAAATGGGGGTGCCATGTTGTCCTTAACCTCAGGCAGCAAATGTCTCTAGCCAATCCCAGCTTCTCTTTCCACCAAGGCTTCTGATTCTGTGGCTTTACTGGGGCAAAAACATCTTTTATGATGGCAGGCAGCGTTGCTCAGCCTGTGGGCAGGAATTGGGACACCCCACCCATTCCACCTGGGGGGAAAGTCCTTTGTTTATTGGGAGATATTCCTTTCTGTTCTCCCAACATAACTTGGCCTAGTAAAAATGATTGCTGTACTTATTTTTGTAATTTACATTTGGATTCTAAATTCTGATGGGCACTTATCTATAAATTCTGCAGCTCTCTGTATGTTCATTGTTTCAAGCTATCTGCAAGTAAGTTCAAGCTAGCTAAATGTTTAGTTCAGTTTTGTGACAATTGCTTGTAGTTAGTGAGATTTGTATACAGTTCTTTTAATATACTGGAGGCAGCCCATATCCCCTGTGGTGCTCATGAAAGGTCTCAGTAAATATGCCCGCAGAAATCCACAATGTATAAGAGGCTGCTTGCTCTTCCTGGTCAGCTCACATCTGCAGTGACTTGGTCGCTCCTACATTGAGCACACCTCCTTAAACATGTCCACATTTCACTGGATACCAGGACTGGATATCCATCCATTCCAAGTGGAGGAGAGGTACAGCCAGCTTTTTCTCTGTGCCCAAGTGTGGTGGTTGTTAGTATAAGGGCCTTTCCCCTGTTGATGGGGGAGAACATCCACATCATTTTCCCCTGTTCCTTTTTTGTCTCTTCTGGAAGTGGTGACTATTTCATATTACGCCTTCCCACCCCCACAGCAGCTGTTTCACGACTGGCACATATAGCACATCCTCAAAATGCTATACTGTATATGCCCACTAGCCCCAAAGGGTTGACCACCCCTACCTTACTATATAGATTGTTGGGCATATTCTAATCCATTCTAAATGTTTGTATACAAGTAATAAATATTACCATTTTCATAGGATAATAGCTCTTTCCTTGTTTGGTCCACTGCCATAGAATTTCCATGAATATTTGTCTTCTGTATTAGAATCTTGTAAATACTGTGAGCATAAAGTTTTTTTATATTATTATTATTATTATTATTATTATTATTTAATCATTTTTCAGATGTTTCCTATACTTCATGTTGCATATCCCTCTTAAAGTTCCTGGTGAAACTGTGTCTTGAAAAAGATTCCCTTCATCTGTGTTTACGCCTTGAGGTGCTGGAACTGTAGGCTAGAAACTGCGCAGCGAAAGATTAAAAGCATTTGATACTGCTTCCTTAAATGTTCTCCAGGTGTTGTTTGGGAAATGGAGAAGTTGGGACAGCATGGTAATTAGTAGTCATCTCCTCGATGTGCCTCACCCTTTCATTTCTGATTACAAATTCTTCCTTGGTGGCATTCAGCACCGGCCACCTCACTGAATAAAAGCTTCCAGTGATGCTATTGGAAGGAGCTGGAAGATCTGAAGAAAGCCATTTAATACCAGAGTGAAAAGACTTAGGGTAGAGTCATTCACAAAGCACAAAACTGTGTTTTGCTCTAGTGCTGTGGGTTAGTTAACTGTGTTAGCTCCAAAATTCACTGGGTTCATAAATGTGTGTGTGGCTGTACACTCTCCTTTCCAATTACTACAACCAGTTGCCTGAGGCTTCAGGAGGATGAAAAGACTTCGCTATTGCCCATGGACCTCATTTCTCTGCTGCTGCTGGTTGTAGAGAGAAATTCAGGAGATCCTTCCTCTTTGCCTCTCTCTCCTGAACTTATAGGCAGTCCTCAAAACTATATTCCTTTCCTGTAGTACCCTGCTTCCAGTCCACATTGACATAACTAGGTCCTTGTTCACAAGGAAGTAAGGCTTTGTTTCCAAGCAGGTTCTTGTTTCACTCTTGGCCATGGAGAGCATTTTGGACCATAACACCAGTATCTGGGTTGTCTACTGGAAAGACACTTGCCACCTGTCCTTTCCATGGATTGCCTCTGATTCCTACCTGCATTGGACTCAATGACACAGCCTGATTTCATGCCAGTTATTCCTTGTAATTGGGCAGAGATGCTTTAGTGAGCCAAGTGAGTAAAGGTGGTGGTTATGGACAGGCAAACAGGATGTTCTGTGTCAGGTAGGGGTATGTGTGTTGAAATCATGGTTTATTTTTCTCAAATATGCTGCATCTGGCTTTCATTTTGCCAGAAGGATAATGAAGCTTTGAAGGATGGATATATATTTTTTGATATATGTCCTATTTTACCTGTCGTGCCTATTTGAGACTTACAAGATGAAGCATTTGAGTTCTCGATAAACCCCTCCTTCTTTCGTGCCCAAAATAGCAGCTTCCTCGTCTTTCTGGTTAGGATTTGGGGACCTGAACCTCTTCTGTTCAATTTCTCTCTTTCTTTTTGGAGTTAATGAAATTAACAGGTGCCACACATAAGTAGCATTTTATTTTCTCTCTTGAAACAGCTTCAGAAATGACAATAAGCAAGGGTGAGGCTCTTTAAAAAGAGCTGAGGAGGAAGTTCATTTCTGACATTTATTGTAATCAGGTGTATCACGGGAATCTGCTGTTGTGTAACAGAAACTCTGGCTTGTCCTTACCTGCTGAAGTATTGCTTAAGAGAGAAGGAAGATAGGCTTACTGAAATGTTGGTCAAATTCAAACTAATTTTGCTTTCTGCCATTATCTTTTAATATTTGTGAGTGAGAGAGAAGCTGAATTAGTGTGTCAACGGGTGTGGCTTTAAATGATTCCCCATATATACAGGGTGAGTCCTTTAGAAGAGGCCCCGTGAATACATAGTTCACATGTTCCACGGGGCCTCCTTTAAAAGACTCACCCTGTATATGCCAGTTTAATTAATTGTGTTATTCAAGCAGATCTGCCTCACAGGATTATCCAGCAAACGCTTTTTTCTGTCGTGAAGTGTAATCCGTGATGAATAACCCTATGGGATGCGGGTGGCGCTGTGGCTTAAACCACAGAGCCTAGGACTTGCCGATCAGAAGGTCGGCAGTTCGAATCCCTGCGACGGGGTGAGCTCCATTTGCTCGGTCCCTGCTCCTGCCAACCTAGCAGTTCGAAAGCACGTCAAAGTGCAAGTAGATAAATAGGTACCGCTCTGGCGGGAAGGTAAACGGTGTTTCCGTGCGCTGCTCTGGTTCACCAGAAGCGGTTTAGTCATGCTGGCCACATGACTCGGAAGCTGTACGCCTGCTCCCTCGGCCAATAAAGTGAGATGAGTGCCGCAACCCTAGAGTCGGCCACGACTGGACCTAATGGTTAGGGGTCCCTTTACCTTTACCTTTACCTTATCTTCTAGCAGCAGAACAGAATTTATATATGATTGTGTGAATGATTTAAACTCGTTTTCTATGTTGATCTCCTTGCTCATGGCCTGAGATGTACGAGTTGATCTGTGGAGACTGTGGTTGGGGTGTGCATGTGTAAGTGTGCACACCATGAGAGAGAAAGATAAGCCATTCTTACAGTGTGTGAATTGGACTGGTGATTCCATATTCATGCAACATGCTGATCAGGTTGCATCAGCTACTTCAAGATACATTGAAGGTGGATAGGGCAAGGGGAGGGCATAGTCTCAGCGAAATATACGTTGCACAAGTACCCCAATCTAATTTCAAATTTTCTAACTTCTCCCCCAGTCAAATCTGGGCTTACCACCTATACGGCTGGTGTTTCTTTTCCCACGAGAGCTTAATTTCATTGGTATTGCCAGACATGGCTGTTTCTGGCTCGGAGGGAATCTGCTGCCAGTATCTTATCTCCATAGCTGGGTGTTGCATCTCCTTCACGAATTGTTTATTCCTTAGAGCAAGCCAGGATATTAGGCAGCTCTCTAAGTTAAGCTGTAGGCGGTTCACCCACATATTAGTTCTTTCCTGCCATTTGTTGGCCCTTTAGTAATCCCAAGGCACACCCTCCGTTCGTTACATCACCAGGAGCATGTGCTTCACAGATGTTAGAAGATATGTGTCCACCCTTTGCACCGCTGCTCTCTCTATTTTCTAAACATTCCTTACCTCCTCTGTATTCCCCCCACTGTTTTTGAGAAACTTGAAAATTCAGTTAGTGGGAAAACTGTTAAAAATTAAATTTGTGTTTGCAGTAATGCTAAAAAGGAAAGACACTCCAGTGTCAATAAGCATATTATATTATTATATTCATATTGGTATGCTACTGTTAGCTACTTTACATTTTCTTTTGGGAGGAAAAGGTACAGAAAAGGAAATGAAAATGAGTCCTAAAATCTGTCTGAGCCTGCGCTTATTGTGGTGAATATATTTTTATTCTTATGCTATCATCTTCTTTCTCCATGAACATTTCATTGTTCATAATATTATTTCTATAAATGCATATACTGCCTTTTAGGGATAAAACCCTTTCTTATAAGGTAGTGTAGGGTAATATTCAAGCTGTCTTTAAAGACAGCCTCATAGACTGCATTACAGCAGTCAAACCTTCGAAAGTGCATGGGTAATTCTTTTTTTAAAAAAATCAGTCAAATCACACACCCCTCCAGTTTTTAAAACCAGCAAATAATCCCTGTATACTAAATTCAGTTGGAAATACATGATCGTTTCGCACACCCCACTTGAGTTTAAGGTTGTATGGTACAGCTATTGTTGCTCTGGGAGCGCATTCTCATTTCTCTGGACCTACTGCAATTGTTGGTCAATCAGGTGTCTGAAGCACTACGAAAATCTGCCAGACCTGTTTGACTAGAGTCAATAGCAGGACATGGAAAAATGTATACATACCATTGAACGTATTACAGTTCTTTTCAGAGATATGAAGGTGCTGTGATAAGACCATTATTGCCCACACTTTTTCTTGTCCTGCTTCTTTGGGGGACAAAACACACCGACGAGGAATGGAATTATCAGATATAAAGCTCCCCTTCTTTGTCTGAAAGATAGAAAATCCAAACTTCTGCCCTGTGTTAAATACACTTGTTTCCATTACTCTGCACCAAAAGCTGTGTCTTCATGATAGACAGATTGACCATTGTTATCCATTTAGCTGTAGCAGCAGTAATTTCTTCTAGTCTTCTTTTCTTTCTTTTTTTAATTTTAAGTTTATTGTGTTGCTACAGCTGTATGCGGTCTGGACACCATTTTCTTTCCCACAATGCTCTGGATGCAGCGCTAGTTCCAAACCATTGTTGCAAAGGGTGGAAATGGCAGACACCACAAAAATACAATAGCCTCCATTGGTAGCTGCTATACTCTCCCTCCGTCTGCACCCAGTTCCCCAGTAGGAGCTAGGCCAATGAGAAACAAGCTGTGGTGGTGCTGATACTGCTCGTGGCAACAGCACAATAAAGTTGTTGTTGTTGTTGTGGAGCTAGGCCAATGAGAAACAAGCTGTGGTGGTGCTGATACTGCTCGTGGCAACAGCACAATAAAGTTGTTGTTGTTGTTGTTGTTGTTGTTGTTGTAAGCCCTAAAAAAAGCTACTACCAATGGTGAAAATAAATTACCCCCACCCTGAGCCTGGTGGTTGCAAATTTCACCTCTTTCCCTTGCTTCTCAAATTAACTAAATGGTTCCCACTTTCTTAATCTAAATGGGGTTGTGAAGGTGGGGGGGGGCACTTGGGTTTACTTCTGATGTAGCAATTTTAATCCTTACAATCCTATCTGTTAAAGAAAATTTCCAACAGATGTATGAATTAGGCGAAAGGATGTAAACACTAGCAGGCTGAAGGAAAATACAAAACAATTAAGGGGTAATAATGAAGAAGGAATCTTAATCTGATTTGTATTTTAGAAATGTCAGTGTAGAAAACACTGAGTCACTAGGTCATTGTTATTTCATGTACCAGTTTGGCTGTAAGTTTTGCATTTGGCAGTCAATGGCAATATTGTCATTGCCCTTACATAATTGGCAACTGGTTGCACTGGTGTTGTTGCATCATAAATTTCTGTATCTACAATATTCCAGTATTGTGTGATACTCTTAATCGCATATGTGACATGTTTACTTTTACAAGTGATTCTTGCGGGTGTTTTGTGATAGAAAGTTGACTGGGTATTGAAATTCACCAGGTAACTCCCACCGAGCTAGAGCTCTGAAATTTGACACACATGTACCCTAAAAATTGCTTTAAAATTTCTGGAAGTGTTATATTACTTCCTAAAAAAAGGCTTTCCGGATTATTTAGCTCCATAAAACTGAATTTGATGCAGATGTAGCTCAAAGTTATTAGAAAAGCCTGAAAATTTGTCACTTTTTTTTTTTTTACTGCTAACCTTTAAAAAATAATAATTGAGGCCTGAAATTTAACTCATAAGAGAGGCTGCTGGCATTCCACTAACAGGGAGTCCCGCTGCTTTTTTACATACTTGAATTAAGCTTTATTGTGTGTGTGTGTGTGTGTGTGTGTAAGTAATACTTGCAGGAGCACATCCTTTTTCCTATCTTGAGGTACCTGTTGTGGGGAGAATTGTGGGAGCAACACATTTTCCAAGCAGTAGAGTGCAGGGAGGTTAAACAACAACAGCCCTCCCCACCTTGTGCTGGGCTGTCAATGCAAATGGGAGTTGGAGGACGTCAACATCTGGAGGACATCATACTGCCTACCCCTGTGCTATATTGGTGTTCACTAATAGATGTACAGTGAAAATCTCAGTAGTATAGATTTGCCAGAGGAGGCATTGGAGTGGCTTTGGGTGGAGTAAGTTTGCTACTCCCCTGTTTCGGAACGTTCCAGTTCTGTTCTAAATTATAGGCTAAATACATACTTACCGTAGGTTGCCTTTTGTATGGGAAAAAATATTCCTTTATAAGGGAAACAGTACAGTAGTACTTGTATTTGCGGGAGTATTTCTCCCCCCCCCCCCATGACACTGTCCAAATAGTAGAATTGTAATCCAACACTTAGAATTGTTTCTCATCACCAGATAATTAAAATTAAGCCCTGGGCTGTGACACATTTAACATAACGATCTGTTTCGTTTTAAATAAACATTTTTGAAAACAAGACTAACAGCTCTTTCTTCAAAGTAGTTAAAATGTTTATATGGATGTTTGAGGAAATAATTTGGATAGAAGCATCATTCCCAGTGCTGTAATTCCCTCATGTTCATCTAGATTAAAGGTAAAAGGACCCCTGACCATTAGGTCCAGTCGTGGCCGACTCTGGGGTTGCGGCTCTCATCTCGCTTTATTGGCCGAGGGAGCCTGCGTACAGCTTCCGGGTCATGTGGCCAGCATGACTAAGCCGCTTCTGGCAAACCAGAGCAGCGCATGGAAACGCTGTTTACCTTCCCGCCGGAGTGGTACCTATTTATCTACTTGCACTTTGATGTGCTTTCGAACTGCTAGGTGGGCAGGAGCAGGGACAGAACAACGGGAGCTCACCCCGTCGCGGGGATTCGAACTGCTGACCTTTTGATCGGCAAGTCCTAGGCTCTGTGGTTTAACCCACAGGGTCTTATAAAATAGTATGCCATGGTGGGATGAAAAGGTTTGGTGGAAGGGGAGGGCTGATGACAAGTCAGATGAGAAGGGGAAATGCCCTTCTGAGGTGTGACAGTCAGCCAAATAAATTTGCCGCACCACATAGCATGCAAATGCAGGAGGCGTGGTATTGCTTGAATATCCATGGGGGATTTCTTGGGCTGGGTTCTGCTTTGCTGGTGGACCCCCAAATATTGGGTTACTTGTGCAGCTGGATTGCTCCTGGAGGTAGAAGAGAGGCTGGCAAAATGCAGAGTTAGACTATTAGTTCTGATGACACATTTCTTGGTCCTGATAATGCAGTGCTCTTTCAGCTTATGTCCTTAGAGGGGGCGGGTGGGACGGGACCACTTTGACAGCTTATTCGATTGAGAGAGCTAGTTTAGGGTTGCCATAAACCAGGACACCCTGGATTTTCTTTAGGAAAACGCCAAAGTTGTTGAGCTATTTATTTATTTATTTATTTGCAGTGGTACCTCGGGTTACAAATACTTTGGGTTACAGACTCTGCTAACCTGGAAGTAGTACCTCGGGTTAAGAACTTTACCTCAGGATGAGAACAGAAATCGTGCGGCGGCGACAGCGGCAGCAGGAGGCCCCATTAGCTAAAGTGGTACCTCAGGTTAAGAACCGTTTCAGGTTAAGAATGGACCTCCGGAACAAATTAAGTTCGTAACCAGAGGTACCACTGTATTTACAAAAACATAACTTTTCAAATTGACTTGCCTCAGATCCAAGACAAAGCACCGCCCTTTGAAAATTTCCCCCAGATGTCAATTCAGCCTTTGAAATCCCGGTAATGTCCAGTAAAATCCTAAAATAATTGGGTGCTCAGTTTTTATTTACATCCTGAACAGGGCATATTTTTGATGGTTAATTTTTCTTTATTCGATATTTATAACCTTATTCCTATACTTCTTATGTGTGGAATACCAAGGAAAGCATATTCCTTCAAACTTGTAGCTCTCATTATTAAAATGCTGCTTTGACTACCTATCCCGAAATGTCTGAAGACCGACGTAAACCCTGATGTGCAACAGTCCTGTAAAGCATGTATTTCTTGTTTTTCAGGAAAAGCGCTTCAGGCAAAAAGGTTGCTTTTTAAAAAAACAAAACAAACTTGCTGCTCTGAAAGATTGCAAGCATAATACAGCTTGTAGACATTTTACATGCATGAGTAAACTTTTTGCTGGAGTTGTGTATGCCTTGTGCTATTTGTGGACTCCAGGGGAACCTGAGAATGTTTTTATTGTTTGTTTGTTTGTTTAATTGGCATTATCAAAAATGAAACTTTTGAATGGATGTCTTGTTTTCAGAATGCTAAATGCGTGGAAAGAAAGGAGAATATTTTTTGCTACGCCATTAATAAGCACTTTTCTCTGTAAAACCCATGACATCTCTCCCCTCCTTCTTGTGCTTTCTTCTGTAATACACATATTCACAGAATTTCCATCATGACAGAGCTGTGTTAAGATTATCCCATCGAGACTGAAACATGTATGTGCTACTTATAGGCACCTGTTTGTAAGTGCAAAGTTGATGGTTAATGTGATCTTTTTGGACACAGGCAGACTTCCACAAAAGTTCTCACCAGAGGCAAGCATCCTTGACTCTGTCGAGAAGAACACAGGTAAAGGTAAAGGGACCCCTGACCATTAGGTCCAGTTGCGGACAACTCTGGAGTTGCGGTGCTCATCTCGCTTTATTGGCCGTGGGAGCCGGCGTACAGCTTCCGGGTCATGTGGCCAGCATGACTAATCTGCTTCTGGCGAACCAGAGCAGCGCGCGGAAACGCCGTTTACCTTCCCGCCAGGGTGGTACCTATTTATCTACTTGCACTTTGACGTGCTTTTTGAACTGCTAGGTGGGCAGGAGCAGGGGCCGAGCAACAGGAGGTCACCCCGTCGCGGGGATTCGAACCACCGAAGAACATAGCAGCACACAAAAGACCCCCTTCTCCCTCAAGGCCACAGCAGATTGAAGGGACAAAAGACTACCTCTTCCTCCAAACCTTCCGGCATGTGTCAGAGAAAATTGGGGAGAAGAGGAGGTTGGTGGTAACAAATAATAACTGCCTGGCAATCCAAGACAATATTTGTGGGCACCCAGGCAATACATTACCCCCCCCCCCCAAGCAATGAGAGCCTATATGTTTGGGAGCAGAACTCTGCTTGTGGTTGTTAGGATCAAACTCAAAATTTCTGAAGTGTTTGTTTGTTTTAGATTCCAATAGTATTTTTCATGTTTTAAGTTCAGCAAACTGTTCTACACTTGCAAATTCTCTTTCCTTTTTTTTGTGGTTTGCTGTGGGGTGAAACCCCTTTTCTCTCTCTTATTGAAGTGAGGCCAAAATCAAACAAACCAGGTTTACATTTCAATCTTTATAATGCAACCTGTAACATACCCTGAAGCTATCAGAAAATAAGTTTGATTGAAATGAAATATTATTCATCCATTTATATTAGAAAAATGGTTATTGCCTTCTCTGTTCATAAAGTAATATGAATCAGTGCATTAAAAACCTAAAGGTACACTTTGAAATAAGTTTTCTAAAGCTTTCTAGAAGTTTTAGGATCACGTAGGTTTGCTTTAACTTGCTTTTCAGCTAACTGTGGTATGGATGCCTTATCCTTTGGCTTATGTTGTAAATAGGACCTTGTGCCCAAAATATTCTTCAAAGCAGTTAAAAGCAGCAATGCTGTGTATTTACAGGGCTAAAGAGGTTCTAGCTTAACTGATAATAGATCTCTTTTTGGTTTTTCCTGTTGTTGTATTTATGTTTTCATTAGGTGTTTCTCAAAAGAGCGAAGAAAGTTCCAGGTTAAAGAACAACTCAGCATAATGCTTGGTGCTTTGTGGAGTCACCCAAGAAGCAGCTCAGATTTCTATAGAGGGCAGATGTGCTTTCGGTCAAATGATGACACTTATTTTCGATTTTGTTTTCCAGTCTTGGCCTGCGTATGAAGATGTTCACGAAAAGACGCAGGCCCTTGCTGTATACCTGAAGCTACCTTGTTTTCCAGATATAGCAGAGGGCAGCTTCCTTCATCCAAACATTCTGTGCATGAAGTATTTGATGGAAGCCAACTTACCTGGTAAGGGCATGTGGGGGAGGGATGTGTTTTGTAACACCCAATTTAATGTTCACCCTATTTTTCCCAACGAACAAAAATTATACATTATCAAGTCCTTTTAAATAGCCTTTACTGTGCTAATGTCGAAAGCACATTCCGATTTTAATAATAATAATAATAATAATAATAATAATAATAATAATAATATATTTATACCCCGCCCATCTGTCTGGGTTTCTCTCCATATGGCAAATTCGGAGTTTTTCATGGACCTCAAGTTGGTAGTGGCATGGGGACTCCTAGGGCTTTATATTTGAAACTCATGGCTGATGCTCTAAGATCTGTCAAACCAAAACAATGGCTCAAAATTTATGAGTGAGCCAGTGTGGGACAGCAGCTTGAGCACTGAACTCGCAACTGAGAAATACAGGTCCAGATCCCTGCTCAGTGAAGAAGCACAGAACAGGGTTTCCCAAACTTGGGTCTCCAGCTGCTTTTGGTTTACAACTCCCATCATCCCTAGCTAGCAGAACCAGTGGTCAGGGATGATCAGAATTGTAGTCCAAAAAAACAACTGGGGACCCAAGTTTGGGAAACCCTGGCATAATAGATAACTTGGGAAAGTGACTATCTATTCGCCGAGCCTACCTCACCTGGTTGTTGTGAGCTCAGTAGACAGAATGTATGCCTCGTGGGTGTTGAGTTAAGCTTTCAATTAACCTCTTCCCTGGTACTGTACTAAAATAATTAAAACAGTCACACTCTAAACCTTTTTGGTATATGAAATCCTGTTTCTGAATCCACTAGATATGAAAATAAAACTTGACTAAATATAAGGACGGATCATTTCTGCAAACATGTTACTTTCTTCACTGTCTCTTCTATGTACCTTCATATAGACACACATTCATCTTCTTTTTATTACAAGAAGGAGTTCAAATACTTAATCACTAGGGCAGCAGCAGAATTAAAGGAAAGTACTAAATGTTTTCCAGACACATCTGCTTAAGTTTTAATAACACAGCATGAAAAAGAAGGTTGTGATCCTCTTTACTGCTGAGTCATGTTAACAGAACAATTAAAGTCACTTATAGCTGACCATTTGATTCTATCCAATCACTCCTCGGAGAAAATGAGAGTCATGGAAGAAAAATAAGGTGTTCCTCAGTATTGCTGGGTTCCTAATAGTACACACCTATGTAGGTTCGCTAAGAAATAAGTCTCATTATGTTCAACATGACTTCCTCTCAGGTAAAATTGTGTATAGGATTGTACATTTCATGTCTTCCCTTTAGATTTCATTACTTTCCCTTTTACTATGTATTTTTAATGAAACAGGATTTTTTAGGTGCTTAAGTGAACAGGACTATTGTTCTTAAATCACTTTGAGATATATCGTAAAGTTTCCACTACAATATATGTAATGTTTCCTGTTGAAACATTTTATTTTGGTCATAATTTTTGGAAGCTGTGGTTTGGATCAGAGTTGGATCATTGTCAACCTTTAGTATCCGAACCAGACTTTCTCAATTTTGGGTCTGTAGATGTTGTTAGTCTACAATTCCAATCATTCCTAGCTAGCATGGCCAGTGGTCAGAGATTTTAGTTCAAGAACATCTGGGAAAGACTGGTTTGGATACCAAAAGTTGACAGTGCTCTTAGAATTCCAGATTTAATATTCAGTATTAATTTATTCTTAGACTCTGCATGCTGCTGCAGTAATCATATTCAAACTTGCATAACCTGCTGCTTACAGGTGAGAAAATAGCCTAGAAATATGAATATAAATAAACTAGAATAGGAAGCAGGCTGTGGCATGACCCTTCTCTTCTGCAGTGGAAATTCCTCGCTCATTTCAGCATTAATTAGGGCACAGTGCTGTTTGTCCCATTGCCGGTATTAATCATGGTTAGCTTTTAGCCAAGGATTGAACTGTTTTGTTAGTATTAGCTTTGGTTATACCATGATTGATGCTGATGAAGGAGGGAGGGAAATGACACAGCAGGGACGGAGTAGGAGCCCTGAACTTACTCAGTCTTAAAACCATGTTTAAGAGAATTAGGACTGCTATGTTATAATGCCAGTCCTGCACGTACCTTTTGAAAATTGCAAAGCACAAATGGATCTGATTGAGGAAGGTTATCCAATCAAAGTTAAACCTTGTTAAGTTCCATTGTCCTTAATGCAGCACAGATTAAAGCAGAGACTTAATGTTCCAACTGAAATTAATAACACTTTGCGTCCTAAATTTGGGTTGGATCACATCTTCACATACAGCAAAAATACGGTTTAAGTAGTACTGCTACCACAGATCAATAGGTTGCCTTGTATTTTAACATTTGTTCTTTTAAGAAAAGGTGCATTTGTACTTCTTTTTTACGCCACTTTAACTGTAGCTACAATCTTCACATTGCTGTACAGGTGTCTTCGAAGACACAAGGAACACAATTTCTTACTTTTCCAGTTTAGCAAGGATGTCATGAATCAACTACCTCATCAGATTCCAGAGGGGTTGTCAGTATACTCTGAAATACCGCCAGCATTCACCTGCCTAAATTGTTGATTCCTTTCCATAAGCAGAAACAGTTCGTACACCTCACTGGTGACCCCGTTTGAAAGTAAAGCTTTCCCCCACAAACACAATTGTGCACATGTACACTTAAATGACTAAAACATGCTCAACTAATCTACTAGGAGTAGAGCAACACTCACATGTCTATTATGAACAAACAAATATAAATAAGAAAATGTACGATAAGAAAAGTTAGGAAATATGATTATGACTGTGATATGGTTTTATGAAATAATGATATTGGAAACTGCTATATATAATTACTAAGAAATTCAGATGGAAGAGATTTGAGGAAGTCAAATAATATGTTTATGAAGATGGATCTTAACTAATTAATTAAATGTTAGTGTAGTGATGATTTGTTGTATTTTATGGTCTACATGTTTTCCTTTTTCTTTTTTCTGTTTCATTCTTTTTCCTTTATTATTGTCAACTTTTTCTTTTGTTATGTCTATGTATGGAAAATAATAAATATTATTATGAATATTATGAACAAACAATTTTTTTGTACCTTTAAATACTTGCCAGCCGTGGCAAGACCTGGTGGAAGAGTATTGCGAGCCAAATGGGGAGGTCTGGCTATCCTTATTAGGTCTGGTTCCCCACCATTGGACTGGATAAACCTCCAAGGTTCGTTCCAACTCTAGTTCTTTGTGTTGGACTTCCATAGCATTTGAAGTTTATCCTCCTCTTAATTCAGATGATATGCACAAGTGGGCGTGCAGAGTGGTTAAAAAAACTGGCGTTGGTGAAATGGACTTCCTGACACTTCGTCCTGAGAATAAATCAGCTCAGAATGTGAAATACGATATTCTTGCCGTAGCTGTGGTGATCGTGGTGCTGAAAATGCTGTTCTTGCTGGATGACCATTATGAATGGTAAGTGTGTGCTGCCATTATAACAAACGCAAACTTACCGACTTATTGCAGTCCAGGGCCACAAAAATCCTAGACTGCTATTTTTATTACCGCTAAGGACTAGCTCAGTGGTTCTCAAAGGGTGTGGTGCGGCAGGAGAGGATGGCAAGCGTGGCAGGAAGATTTGAGGACAAAGAAATGCTCAAACATTTCAGTGCAGTATAGTATCAAAACATGGTTTTTTTAATTTGCAAAATATGGCTCGATATCTTTTCAAAATGAGAGTATCAAATGGTACTGAGGACAGTCCTAGGTTGTGATCCAGAATCGCCGTTTGAATAGAGTGCTGGAGAATAGCATTGGCTGTTCTTCTGCCGTTCTCCAACTCTGACCAATATGAAAGATCAGAAAAGAGAAAGGCTTCTTTGCATTGATGAGGAGATGAGAGTTCATTGGTCTCAAATTAGACCTAATATAAATGACATTACCTGGCAAAAGCAAGCTCACACCTCTCATTGAGTTTGTATAAACATAAGAGGCTTGTTTATAATTATCTTTTGGGAATGATTCATCTTCTTACGTAGCTGCATCGTTTTATACTTTCTGGCTGTCCTGTGTTCTTATGATAAAGTAGTTGTGTTTTGTGGTGTGAATTAAGCACTGCTGGGAGTTGTTTCTTTTTGTTTTCCAATGTATTTCTTATCAATGAAGAAAATGGTGTGAGATGAGTAAACTTTAATTATGGAAGTGTGGCCCAGAGAAAAAAAGTTTGAGAATCATTGGAATAAACAAATGGAACACTGAATAAGAGAAATATAACATATTGCTTCCTTAATATTCAATTTGTGTATATTCACATAGCATCTAGAATCCGTTTTGCCATTTCCCTCTTGGTCAGGCAGAATAACTCTGCAGCACAGCTCTGAAAGGGTCTGGTCTTATTTGACATAGCAGTGGTTCAAATGTTACTTATCCCAGTCCAATTTGCTTTAAGCTGTTTTCGATGTCGTATTTTTAATTTTTGGAACCCTATGGCTAAGGAAGGGTAGTAAATCATCCTCATCCTTGTAATGTGGAGGCAGAAAAGGATGTGTTTCAAGCAGCGAGGGTTGCAATACTTGTGTTGTGTTGATCACATGAGTGTCCATGTCAGTGTTGAAACCCATCCCCCCCACCAGATGACAGTAGATTCTTGTATGAAGATGTTCCATGTAAGTAAAGCCCAATGGTGTCATGACCCTGGGGTCCGACTTCCCCTCTGGGGGATGAGGCCAAGGATTTGAAGAAATAATTGGAGGGTAAGGGTCTATATCCTGCAGACCTAGCCACTATGGTCCCCAGTTATCCAAGAACTCCAACATAGGAGGAGGCCATTCACATGGGATGAGCAAGGTTTGAACCAGCCCTTACAATTTTAAATTTTTAACCTAAGAGATAAGGTCTTTGGATTCATTAGAGTGGCTCAGATTTAAAATATGCTTGAATAGTTTGAAAAAATGGGGACCATTTTTTTCAATTAAAAAAAACCCTCTGAATCTGTTGGATATATTTTCAGGTTACTAGCAGACTATGCCGAAGAGAGAAACAAAAGGAAAGAAGAAGGTACCAAATACTTTAGAAGAAGCTTAGTATAAGTTTTGCATTGCCAACTATATTTTAAGATGCTAGCGTACATGCAAGACAGTCGTGGAAGCTCTTTCAGTAGAGTATGTGAATTGAAAAGAAAGTGTAAGTCATACGAATGTATGAAAGAGCTGCCCAAATCTACATGTGAAAAAGGAGCTTTTTACATTTGCATGTGGCTTCCTAGCAATATCTGAATGACTGTAGTCTCTTAATTTTTAGATGCAGAGGTTGCATAGCAAATGATAGAAACTGACAAAGGCTCAGTTTCCAGAAACTCCAGTGCAGATGTAAGATAGCTCATCCTTCAGTTGCTCTAAAGAGATCAGGGACCGGCTGCAGGATCACATTCTTCCTTTCCTCTGTTCCTCTCTGTCCTCATGCCTGTTGCCCTAACGTTTCCCAGCTGGCTTTAGCCTTCTTTAAACCTAACTAGTTTTCTGTTAACTTGGGTAGATCATTGCTGTATTCCCAACTATGTAGTAACGATGTGGTCAGCAGTAGATCTAGTCCCTCAAATAAGTCTCACAAGATGGTGTAAGGCAGATCATTTGGTTTGAATCCCTCCTCCCTTGGAGAACATCCAAGAAGAATTGGATATCTGTTCATACAAATATGCCCTTAAAGCTGGATATCCTAGAATGCTGAAAAACGAATGCAATACTTTTAATCGCAGCTTAACGAGAGTCAGTATAGTGTGGTGTCAGTGTTAGAAACTGAGATATGAAAGCTAAGAGCTAAATGGCACCTTAAATGGCACCTAGGCTAGGGATGCAACAGCCTAATGTCCAGGCACATTTTTTTATAACAAGAATACAAAGTTGAAAGTGAACTGCAGCTAAAAGATTATGTTCACTTTTCACACTGTCTAGTCCTCCCCCTAATATTCTTAAGAGGGTCTCTTCTCCAGTCTTCGGAGAGTAGCTGGAAGTGGGGAGGCAGAAAAAGGTCCTCCTTTCCTTCCGCTCTGCAGTTTTAATCTGAAATCTTAGGCGCAGTACTGTACCCAGAGCTCAGGAACCACTCGCGCTAATGAAATTCCCTGTCTCAAAATGTGCCTAGAACAGTGGGAGTTTCGAACCCTGTATGGTGTATGTGGAATTTGATGTGGAGCTTTCTTGGTCTTCTCTTATCTTGCGCAGAAATAACGAGGCCACGCTGATTTTAAATTCATTGAAAGAAGGATGGAATAAAAGTTAAAACTTAATTCGTTCATTTTCACTACAGGCTGTCCAGTGTTTGATATTCGGAAATGGTACCTAGTTGTAAAGAATGCTCTGGATGTGGAGCAGAAGAAATTTAACGAAGGAAGAATCAGGTGTGGTGTTCATAGGCTGACAGTCTCTGATTTGGGTTGGAGAAATTAAAAGGGTATGATAGCAATGGGCAGTACCTGAAGATATGAATTAAAATGGGTAGACCCATCTGTAATGTCTTAGGAAATCTCTCTTTGTAAATGTTTTTGGTGGGTTTTTCTTTTTACTTCTGATACCATTGCTGACATTTATTTATTTATTTAAAGTAAAAGGAATGGGAGGAATATTTTGAGGAATGTATGGGGAAGGCTTCTGTAGAAAGTAGCCTTGGTGGAGAGATGATTAAGCTCTGGTGGGAGGGGATTTAGCACCACACTGCTATTTCCCCTAAGTAGCCGCAGTGGTATTAATGGAAGATATTTCACTTTTGGCATTTTTGGGGTGAATGGTGAAACCAAACAGGTGATTGTATTCAACTGTTCTATAACAGGTTTAGATCATAGTTAAGGATATGGTTGTTGTGACGATAATCCACCGTGTGTTGTCTTCTCTTTCCTCCACCCCCAAATATTTCTTTTTTCTTTTTCTTTTCTTTTTTTGCATCTTCAGACATTTATGGAGATGTGAGAAGCCACTATTGTTTTTTGTCCACGAAACATATGCTTTCCTCAAGAAAAGACGTAAGTGATTCCCTCTTCCTTTCCTCAAACATGACTCTTCCCCCCTCCCCATAGGTTGAATTCAGTTCTTAAGAACCTGGCCACATCTGAGGCATAGGGAGAAAGGGGACTGGGATTCTCAGTCTGGCAAGGAAGTAGGAACAGAACTACCATCTGCCATTAAGCCTTACACGGCTCAAATATGTAATATTGAGCCATTCTCCCAGAAAGCATTTTGGAATATTCTTGAGGCCTTCCTGACTCTGCTTCCTGCGCTGTAAATACGGTAGATTGACAGGTGCACTCTGGGGAAAGAGAGGAACCTGACAAAGACAATGCTAGAGTTCCTTTCAGAAAGAAAGAAAGAAAGAAAGAAAGAAAGAAAGAAAGAAAGAAAGAAAAGGCCGGCAGGCCACACTCCTCTTTTTCCATATGTCAGTTCTTCCCATGTGATGTGTACAGCTGTTGGAGATTATTTAAACTTTCCATTAAAGTTCCTGTCATGAGACACCCAAATTCTTCAAAAAGATGCTACGTTCTGATAATTTTTTTACTATCACCAGAATTACTAAGGTTTTTGGAGAATAACTTATATACAGCATTTGGGTGTGCCTTGTGAAGTTTGCTTCCTTTATAAAAGTCTTCCAGCCTTTATTTCTTTCTGAAACAGCCTTTAAAAATTTTTGTGGCTCATTGTTACATTTCGCTTTGTACAGAAATGGTAGTGGACCTTCAAAGGCAGTTCCGAACACTGTCTGGTTCTGTGGAACCTGCTGAGAAGCGGAGCCCCTCAAGTTTCCAGCTAAACTGGACTGAGGAAGTAGATTGTTTCCACGGGCACAGCCTGGTTGGGATTTTGCAACCAAAAGGCGACACATTAACAACTCTGAACAGAAAGTATTGGTTGTGTACGACTGCCCTGTGCAAACGGAAGTAAGTGTTTGACATCCCTGTAGAAAATGTGTGCTAAATGTGTTAGCATTTGTAGAAGAAGAATTGTAGAATGTGTTGACTTGAATATAATAATACTAATACTAATAATTTATTATTTATACCCCGCCCATCTGTTACATTATGCTGCCTTTCAGGTATCCTACATTTTTGCCTTTTTAAAAAAAATTATTCATCACCAGTTTGGAAGAAAGATACAGTATTATGAACAAGAACATATGGGAGAGGACATTAAAGTTAGCTTAAGTATATTAATCACAACATCCTTTAATGATAGATTTCTTGTTGAACAATACATGTTATTCTGCCAGCAGGCAGTGTGAGGTGGAAGACATGAGAGAGAGAGAGAGAGAGAGAGAGAGAGAGAGAGAGACCTAAAAGATTTGCATACATGCTACTTTATTGCTGGAAGGAGAACAGAATTCATGCATTCAAGTTATGATTCTGGCTGCTGAAAAATTTAATGTGCTGCTTTTTGCCAGTTCTGTAGTGTTAGCGCTTTGAGGCTGTGCTGTGTCAAACCTTTATTTTAAATCAGATTAAAATGGGATTCTGAGTAGCCTTTCCTATGGTCAGTACCACTATCATTCTTGATTGTGGCTACGTCAGATAGAGAGATTGGCTCAGGGTACAATATAGAGTAAGCACTTACAAAAAAACCTTATTGGGTAGTAGACCTAACCACATGAAAAGGTAGCCGGTAGACTGTGGCTATGTAATAAACCCAGATTACCTAGTTCCTTTCTTTCTTGCATTTCTAAGTGGCCCAGGTGTTGGTCACCTCTGTAGTACGCACTTAAAACTACCAGCCAGTAAAGCTTTTAACCATCTTCCATGGTTAAGAGATCAGAAGTAGATTTTAGAATTGTGAACCTCATTTTTGGAAGAAGAACCAAAACGTCTTTTTTGCTTAAAAAGATCAATTATATATACTTCTAACATCCTCTTGTAATTTTCCACATAAGTTAGAACCAAGAGAGACACATTTGGACTCTGGAAACGTTTGTCAAGAGAAACTTCCTTCTCCTAATTGACAGAAGCATGTTTTCCTTACTTAGTTCTTAGTACTGGTTTTAGTCTGGTACTGCTCTTAAACCGATGCCCAGTATATTCCAGGGGCTAGAAAGCTGGAGATAGGTGTTTGTTTCATCTTTTGTATCCTGCCGTTCTATCAGCAAGAATCAAAGTGACTTCCAATGGAATAAGACAGCGTAAAATATCATCTAGGAAAGACTTGTGCAACTGAGCTTCCTTTCTCCTCTCTTCTTCCCTGCAGCCTGTCATGCACCCTCAAATATCATGCACCCTAAGAGTCTGCACCCAGATGCTTGGGTGGCCCTGTGAAGCAAATTTTGGGGTCATGTGGGGAGAGGAGAGGAAGGAGAAGTCCTGTTGTGTAATCAGATTGCTGCTGCATTGGATACAGCCCCTAACTTCTAATTCAGGCACACAAACAGTAGCACTGTGGCTTCTTAAAACCCAAACAGCTTGGAGTCTGCTGTGCACACACACACACAGCTGTTTACGTAAAGCAATCCACTGGGTGCTCATGATGGTTGGAAGAGCGAAACCAGCAAATTTGCACAAGAGTTATTGAGTGCAGCTTGCCATGTGTAGCAAACTCTTTGCCGTTTATATTTTGAGCAGCTCCCACGCCACACATTCCACTGCTTTGTGTGAACAGGGCTTTAGAATGGGTTTCTTTAAAAAGTAAGAATCGGGTTCAAGGTCTTCCGCATTTGTGAATTCTTTGTACGACCGTGCCTAAGTTTCTGTCTCTTTGAGAGTGAGTCGCCTATCTTTAAAGCAGGGATCATGAGGCTCATCAAGGTTGTTCACAAAGCAAGCAGAGCAAACACTTACAAAACACTTTGCAGATTACAAGTGCTGTCTATAAATGCTTAGCTGTAGTGGTACAAGAAGAGCTTGAATAATGATAGGATGTGTACCCGTTTTTCTGGATGTTGTAATTTGGAATAAATTTGTGGGCTGTTTTCTATTTTTTCCCCCTTTTCTAGGACGTGTGGTCATTTGGCATACTTTAAAGAGTCAAATTTTCCTCATTCCTACCAGTTTGTTTTAAATCTGTTCTCCTTCATCCTGCGGGTGAAGCCCTCTCTCATCCATGAAGAAGTCTGCGCGATTGAACATAAACTCTTCTATACAGAACTTCGTAAAAAATCCATACTCTCCAAAGTTTGAAAAGGTGGAAAGCTTTAAAAACCAAAGACTTATCTCAAGAGAGCGAAGACCTTCAGTAAGTGCAATAACCTATACGGAAAATTCATACTCATTAAGTGAGATTTACTGACATCATCACATTAAGACAGATGCAGCTGCTCTGCAATTTGTTCGTACTTCAGATGTCACGTTCCTAGTCCAGCTACCACAGTTTGTTGGAGCAGAAACAAATGCCACGTTGGGCTGCTTCATACAAAAATACTTTAAATCAGTTTCTCGTTTGCATCCAGACTGGGAAGCTTTTATTGCAAACCACATTTATTAGATTGAGAATGCGATGTCTGAATTGGACCTTACAGTTTGTTGCAGGGTGGATGATAATGTGATCCACTAAACTAAACACTGTTTTCCCCCAGTGATATTGTAAAATTTTCAGGTGTTTTTATACATTTTGAACTTCTTGTTCGCTATTGTAACAACAAAAACATATTGACGTATTTTGAAATAAACCTCTCTTTTTTTCAAACGAAGTTGCCATTTAGCATTCCTAATGCTGTGATCCTACAATCTGATGGTACCTTACTGGTTTATCAGTGGTGTTGGCTGCTCCATGAGGCAGAGAGCCATCTGCTTCAGGTGGCAAGTTCTGTGTTGCTTAACATTGTATTCCCTCCACACCCCAGTTTAGAATAGGAGGGGAATCCACTTTGATTTTTTTTTTTAACCTCAGGTGCTAAAATGTATTGATTGGGCTTGTGGAATTCCTTTGGTTCTTTGGAGATTTGTAATGGCATAGGAATGTAGCCTAATAGTAGTGAATAAAACAAATTATTGCGTAAATCTCCAGTCCTGTTACAGTGAGCATCTTACCTTTAATCCGGCCCAATCGTAAGGCCAGCTAAGTGTAGTTACAGCTTTGAAAGCCTATGTTCTTTGCCTGTCTGCATCAGCAGTGTGTTGTCTCTAATGCTTCAAAGAAGTAAGGTTCAGTGCACCAATCCTGTTGACATTTTGACTTCATTGGATGGTTAAAACAAAACGCTTTGGGTTGTTTTGTGTTTTTTTGTCTTTTTCACAATAAAAAATGTGATAGACTTGAATGAATGAATAATACAAGTAAATGAGTTTTTGTGTAGCGATACTACCTCTGCATTGATTAGGAACCTACTACTAATCTAAGCCGCAATTCACCCCTTGGATCTCTTCCCCCTTGCTGTTGCTTGACCTCCATAATACGTGTTAAGATTGACAGTTGGCAATCAGGTTCCACCTTCCAGAATGTTTTAAGTTGCGCAGAGAGAAGAAAAGCTGTTGGCGCACTGCAGCAGCTAAACTGGACACCTTCATCTGCCCCACCTGCAATAAAACATGTCTCTCCCATATCAGTCTCTACAGCCACAGCAGGCGCTGTAAGTCTCTAATAGTTTTACTTTACCCCGGAAGACGCACTTTTCCAGTGTCTCCAGAGAAAGACGGATGCCAACACTCCTCTAAATGCCTAGCACATTTAGATGCTGTACCTTTAAAGGTGCTATACCTTTAAAACAGCATTACGCCTAGATGGATCAGTCCGCACTTAGTCACTGTAATCATAGCTAACAGGCTTGTGAAGCATGGCAGCACCTGATCTTTACTGAAATGAAGTTGTGCTGAGCCTGGGACACAAATGCTTTGAGTCCACTCACCATTATGCTGAGGTGCAATTGCATTTCTCAAGCAGACAAATGGGGTTGGATAGCCCAAGGGTAGGGTGTGTGTCTCTAAAACAACAGCTTTAACTACCTCGTCTGCTTGTATTTAAGTTGCAGCTCCTCTTCTCTTCAGCAAAAATAAATAAATCAGCATTTTATCTGTAGTCCTTTTTTTTAAAGAAGGGATGTTTTTTCTTTTATTATGCTCCTGAGCCTAAGGACTTCTCAGCTCTACAAAAAATACTAGATCTTCTTTTGAAAGGGATGATTTTCTCCTTTATTATTCTCCCAAGCCCAAGGATTTCTAAGCTCTACAGAAAATACTGGATCACCTTTTGTTGCATCTGAGTATCACGCAGAGCTAAATAACCAGTGATATGTGATCGCATTAGTAGGAATAGACAAATAGAGAACAAGTTTGGTTGCCTTAATATTTAGTTTTGGGGTATTTCTGATTCTATTTTATTCTTGATTTGCACTGCTGTGGTACATATCTAAAGCATCAATGATAATACTAATAACTACTGTTTTCTACCAAATGTAACATGGATGCTCAACAAAGTATTAATCTTAAACATTACACAACCACCTTTCTATTGCAGTTATAATGCTGTGAGTGGTGTGCCACCACTTAAAAGAATCCACCAAAAAGGGTTAAGCATTCATAAAGGTAAAGGGACCCCTGACCATTAGGTCCAGTTGTTACTGAGTCTGGGGTTGCGGCACTCATCTCGCTTTACTGGCCGAGGGAGCCGGCGTGCAGCTTCCGGGTCATGTGGCCAGCATGACTAAGCCGCTTCTGGTGAACCAGAGCAGCGCACGGAAACGCCATTTACCTTCCCACCAGAGCGGTACCTATTTATCTACTTGCACTTTGACGTGCTTTTGAACTGCTAGGTTGGCAGGAGCAGGGACTGAGCAACGGGAGCTCACCCTGTCGCGGGGATTCGAACCGCCAACCTTCTGATTGGCAAGCCCAAGAGGTTCAGTGGTTTATCCCACAGTGCCACCTGCGTAGCATTCATACAGCGCCACAAAAAGAAATGCTGCCATAAAACCTTGAAAGACAAAAACAAGAGCACGGATAAAAACCTAAAAAGCAGGAAGTCAGTCTACTAAAACAACCCAACAGGGCAACCTGCAGCAATAAATCCACCATTAAAAACAACATGCAGTATCCATCTAACTTGTTGCATCGATGTAAGGATTTCTGCTTGTGCAACAGAACTCTCTCCATCCCCATCTCCTGCAGCTGGCACTCTAAATCTGTTCTGGGAGTTCCCCCAACCCCCTGAAGAAAATTCTGGGAGGGCTTGAGAAGGAGAGGCAGGAGTTCTGTTGCAGAAACAGGAATCCTTGCGCTGATGGCACAAGTTAGCCCAGTGCAAATAATCATTCAAATGATTGGCTAATCAGTTTAAACAGCTGTAAAAAGCCTGTCTGCATAAAAGGGTTTTTCAAGAGGCGTCAGAAAGTCAAAAGCAAGGGTGCTTGATGAATCTGCTGGAAGAGTGTTCCATGACATGGGACCGATAAACCTAAAGACCATTCAGACCTTTGTTAACATGGGCAGCAACTAACAGCACTCTTCTGGGTGATCTCAGCATACATATCATTGCAGTTTAGTACATGCATTTAGTACAAAGGACAACGGGTTGTAGATTCTTGCAACTGTAGTTCTGGCTTAAAACCAGAAATAATAGCGAATAGTGCTGACAGATCAAGAGGAGTTAACTCCGCCACCACAATTTGGCATTGAATCAAGCTGAAGCCCTTCCAGCATCCAGATCTCACAGTGGCCCATGAGATGCGCCCACAAGTACAGCAGAGCTCTCCCTACCCATGATTCCTTGCAACCTGTCACAGCCCACTGCCTCCAACACCAGAGGTAAAGCATAGCCATAGATAGCCTCACCCTAGCCTTGGTGATCATCACTGCCTCTTATGGGAATTCCATAGTTTAACTTTGTGCTGAGTGAATAAGTGCTTTCTTTTGCCCTGAAACTGTCAACATTCTTTGGGTGGCCTTGAGTTCTAGTAGTGTAGGAGGTGAGCAACTTTCTTCACACCTTCCTATCACCTCTTACTTACCTTTTCTCTAAATTAAAAAGCCCCATATGTTGTAGTCTTCCTTCCCAGGGGAGTTGCTCCATCTTTCAATCACTTTGGTTGCACTTTTCCTGGCTAGGTATGGTACCCTTATTCTAAGTGGAGCCCCACTGGGCCGTGAGTGCAAATCGAGTCTGCCAGGCCACCCAGTTTGCTCCATGTGGGCATCTTTGGCCACCTAGGCCTCCCTGTCGCTCACCTGATGCCATTAGGTGAGTGAACAGAGAATAGGACATCAGATGCAGAATAGAAGCCGAAGAATAAATAGGAACTAAAAGTTTTGCCTAAGTTGTTCTTATCCCAAGAGTCTTTGCCCAACCATGAGCTGACTTGCTGTTACCCTAGAGCAGGAATTGGGAACCTGTGGGTCTCTGGATGTTGTTGGACTCCAACATCCATCAGCCAACAGTTAGGGTTTATGGGAGTTGTAGGGTATGTTCACATTACCACTTGCTCCAACCTCTGCTAGTTTTTGAAGCCTCATTCACATGATGTTAGCCACAACCCGTATTAATCCTATAGTTTGACAAATACTGCTGTTTTATTGCTTCCACCCTCCCAAGCCTGTTTCAATCCAACTAAGAAACTTAAGCACATTCACTTCATGCTTATGAGTGGTATGTGCATTCAAGACACGTGTGCAATTGACAGCGTCATGAATAGGAGCTGCAGGGAAAGGGAGGTCACGTAGATCGGGTGAAGACCCCCTCTATGATGTGTGCAACACCATGCAAATGTGGCTTAAAGCATGAAGTGAAGGGGGAGAACCACCTTGCTGCATATTAAGCCACAAACCTGAACATACCCATAGTCCAGCAATATCTGAAAGGCCACACATTCCCCACTCTTGCCTTAGAAATAGAGGTGCGGCAGGCGAAGGGGCCTATGCAAAGAGGAATAAAATAATCAGTGGGCTGAGAAAACAGCAATTTGAAGAAAAGGAGGGGGTGGGATAGGAAAGAATGACTGCGGTATGTTGGTCCAGAGGAGTGAGTGGAAACTTTGAAAAAGGAGAAGGCTGGAGGGAGGAAGCTGAATTAAGAAAAGAAAACAGTAGAAGAATGTACTTCAGCTGTATTGGTAAAAGGTTGTGTTCAGTGTGCCCGAGATCAAAGGATTTGAAACTGTCATCCAGTTTGATTAGCTGGAATAAAGTCATAAATTAACTACCCAATCTTTTAAGAAAAAGAAACCTCGATTGCTGCTTCTCTAAACTTTGCATGAACCATTGCCCATTTCAAATGATTTGAACCAGCCAGCCAAATCTGTCACTGCAGGTCCCACTCCAGACATTTATATGTCTAAAACAGGCATGTAGGTCTTCAGTGGTGTGAACTGATTTTCTCAAGTGCAGTACAGCCAGAGCAGTTTCGAACTGGCTCCTTAGTTGCTAGTGTCCCAATCACACTCTAGATGCTTCCCTGGAAGCAACTGTGTGAACTCTGTCATTGATGAATCAGTCTAGTCAAAATGCTAGTAATAGGAGCAGCAACTTACTTGGTATTTTTTTTTTAAAAAAATTAAATCAAGTAAGAAGAATACTTAGGAAATTATAGGGTTTTAATTTTTGAAGTCAAGTCTAAAAATTGCCTTGTTCTTGCTTGCTTCATTCAATCACATTTCCTTTCTCCCCAGAAATAGCTTCTCTCCAACTCCTCCCACAGCCTTTAAGTTACCTGGAAAATACCTCTGCATGGATAAGCTCCTGTTGATTTCGTTTCTGCATTTGAAATGTGAATAAGTATTACATCCCTTTTAATGGAGAGGCATGGAAATAGGCCTGTGAATAGGTATCAAAGTTGGTAATTAGCTGAAATGGGAAGCAGATATGGATATAGATAATAGTATCAAAGGAGAGCTTCAGGGAGATTTCTTTAGCAACCTCCCATATGTAATGACCTGAATCTTTAGAAAAGGGCTAGCTAAACCTTTGAGTGCCCCACTGACCCATGACTAACCTCTCAGGGGTCACATGTAAAAAGTGACCATAGGCAAAGTAAAAAAGTGAGTGTGAATATTTTCTAAATGGACAAGACATGGAGGGAGGAATTGAAGGTCACAAAAAAAGGCTTTTGGCATCGATTTTGACCTTCTAAATTTAACCCCTTGAATTTAATAATGAATCATAAATGATAATGGGCTGTACAAAATCCTAGCCTTACTCATAATAGAACGATTGCCATTAATGAACCCAAGTTAGTCATCTCTGTTAATTTCAACGGTTGTACTCGGAGTCAGACTAGCACTGGATACAACCCAGTGATTTTAAAACTGCATAGAATAGCTGATGGGAAAGTCTTTTGGAAGGCTGCCCTA